GCGCTCATGGTGTGGTTGGTGGGAGGCAGGTGTGTCCCGCTGTGATTGGCGGGAGCCTTGTTCCATTGGTTGGAAGCAGGGGTGCTTTGCTGTGATTGGTGGGAGTCTTGTTTACCCCCTCGCACCCCCTTACCCTCCTGACAGTAACTGGTTGGAAGCAGGCATGCTCTGCAGTGATTGGAGAAGGCCAAGACCCCTGATCTGTGATTGGTGGGAGGTGTGGGGGTGCAGGAGGCAGGGCTGCCTCAGGACACGCTGTGCCCGCAGGGTGCAGCCTGCCTGCCTCCCCTGGGGCCACCCAGCCCGAGGGGCTGCACCGGGGACCGGCTGCTGCCTGCTCCTCCGACTGTCTGCACCGCGGGGCGGGCGGCCACATCCTGCTGCTGCTCTGCAACACGACGGGCTCTGGCCCCCAGCTCGCCAGGTACCTGCCTGCCCTGCCCGTGCCTCACCTGCACGGCACTGCCACTGTTCCCCCAGTGGGACAGGGCACGGGGGTGTCCCTCCTCAGCCGCGTGTCCCCCACTGTCCCCAGGTTTGGGCCACCGCTGTTGCTGCGGGAGGAGAGGGGTGCCTCCTGGGAGCAGCTCCAGCAGAGCATCCTGGCCCTGCTGCAGGAAGACGTGCAGGCACAGGTGAGCACGACAGGGGGGACACCCGCTGCCACTGCAGCCATGGCAGGGATGGAGCCATGGGTGGCCATGGTGTCTCCATGGGCAGCTGTAGTGGAGCAGTGGGTGGCCCTGGTGTGGCTCTACATGGCCATGGTGGCCCCATCAATGGCTGTGGTGTCACCATGGGTGATCGTGGTGGAGCTGTGCTCAGCTGTAGGGTCACTGTGGGTTGTGATAGCCCCGGGGATGGTTGTGGTGTTGGTGCTGGTGGCTCATGGTCACTGTGGGTGGCCATGCTCTCACTGTGGGTGGTCATATTCACACTGCAGACAGGCAGAGACATCACAGAGGGTGCCCACAGTGTCACCGTGGGTGGCGGCAGTTTTCTTGTGCATGGTCATGTTGTCACCACAGTGGCCAATGTCACCATTGGTGGCCACGGTGTCCATGTCGGTGGCTGTTGGTGTCCCTGTGGATGCTCACACTGTCACTGCAGGTGGCCAGTGGTGTCGCCACGGGTGGCTACAGTATCACCATGTGTGGCCGCAGCGCCAGCCAGCTCCCGCGGCAGAGCTGCGCCAGCCCAGCCACCCTCCTCAGCACCCTGGTGCCACTATCCTATGGGCGCTGGTGTCCCCGTGCTGCCCACTGCCCCCCAGCCACACTGTTGCCAGCAGAATGGGTCATCCCCCATCCCCCCATCCATCTCCGTGTGTGTCCCTTGCCAGCCCAGCCACAGGGACCAAAGAAAACTCATTTCTGGGGCTTTTCTTGTCTTCTTTCACGAAGCACGGCTCCCCCGGCTGCTGCTGGAGGGCAGGAAGGCTCTGCCTCCCCGCAGCCCCACAGCCCCCTCTCCCTTGCAGGGCACAGGAGTCCTCTTCCGCATCCGCCTGGCCGGGGGCTCAGCCCCCTGCACCTACCTGTCCCCACAGGACCCCCGCCCCCTCTGCCACCCTGCTGTCGACAGGTAAGGGCACTGCAGGGACAGGATTGTCCCCAGGATATCCACCCACTCCCCAGGGGTGCAGTGGTGTCACCATGGCTGGTCACAGTGTCCCTCTGCATGGTTGTGTTGCCGCCATGGATGGCCAAAGGTGTCCCTGCGGCTGGCCACAGTGTCAGCATGGGTGGCCACCACTGCGGCCACCCTTCTCCCCAGGCACTAGGTCCCCATCCCTGTGTCTCCATTGTGGGTGTTACACGGGGAGGTGGTGGCCATCCCTGCCTGCCACTATGGGGTGCCAAGGGGTTGGCCCCACAGGGACAAGGGTTTTGGGGGCATCTCACCTCATCCTCACCCCCAGAGCCCTGCAGCTGAGCGGGACAGGTGGCCCTCCCCACGTGAAGCTGACAGTGGAGTGGGATGTGAGCACCAAAGAGCGGTGAGTGCCTTGCACCCAGAGGGGTGGAGCATCCCCGCACTTGGCTCACCCTTCCTGACCTCCCTCCGCTGTCATGGCACTGCCCCCCACAGCCTTTTCGGCAACCTCCAGGAGGAGGTGGTGCAGGACGCCGAGAGTGTGCGGCTGCAGCAGCAAGCGCATGGGCAGCAGCACAGCTGCACGCTGGATGAGTGCTTCCAGCTCTACACCAAGGAGGAGCAGGTACCAGGCACCCCACCAGCCACACAGGCAGCAGGCACCCTTCCTGCACACTGCCAGCATCCTGCCCGCACTCTGCCTGCGCCCGGCAGAGCCCCACGGAGGGCGAGCTCTGCCCGCTGCACGGTAGCTGTCAGGGTTTGCGGTGCTGGCGCCGCGGGGGAGGGAGGTGACCGTGGCATGCGGTGTCTCCAGCTGGCCCCGGATGACGCCTGGCGCTGCCCGCACTGCAAGGTGCCCCAGCAGGGCACGGTGAAGCTGAGCCTTTGGACACTGCCCGACATCCTCATCATCCACCTCAAGCGCTTTCGCCAGGTGGCTGAGCACCGGCACAAGCTCACCACGCTGGTGAGGTTCCCCCTGCGGGGTCTCAACATGGCCCCTCACGTGGCGCAGCGGGGCCAGGCTGGTGGGCAGCTGTTGGGGCGCTGGGCCTGGCAGGGCCCCCCCCGCCTGCCCCCAGGCTGCCCCCGTGACTCCCTCTACGACCTGTACGCGGTCTGCAACCACCACGGCAGCTTGCAGGGCGGGCACTACACCGGTGAGCGGCATGGGGGGAGCAGGGTGCAGAACCTGGGTGGGGGTGCTGCGGGGGGGTTGTCATGGGGCAAGGTGTGAGGCTTGGGGGCATGGCAGAGGGGTATGTGTGGGGTACGGCATGGGGTTGGGAGGCAAGCCATGCCATGCCATGGAGCAAGGTGTAGGGACTTGGGGGCACTGCAGGGGGATATGCCATGGGGTACTGCATGAGCCTGGGGGAGACTGGAGAGGGGTGTGTCATGGGCCATGGCACAGGCTTGGGGGGGCACTGCAGGGGGTTGCCATGGCAAGCTGGGGCACAGGGCACACGTACAATGGCCTTTCAACCACACCAGGGCACGCGTGGCACTGGGACGTGCTCCTTCACAACAGCGTTCTGCATCCCCAGGCTGTCCCCATGTTGGGGCTTGTACTCCCCACTGCACCCTGGGACTGGGGGCAGATGAGGGCCATGACACCCCTCACCCCTGTGTCCCCTCCTTACCTCTCGTCCCCAGCCTACTGCTGCAACGCCCTGGATGGGCAGTGGTACAGCTACGATGACAGCAGGGTGGAGGGGGTGCCGGAGGCCGAGGTGAGCACCCGCAGCGCCTATATTCTCTTCTACCAGCGCCGCAAGGCTGTGCCCGTATGGTCTGCTGGCAGCTCCATCAGGGGTGAGCACTCCAACCTCCCTGCCACTGCCCCCGGCACGTGTGGCACATCAGAGTGCACATACATGCACATAGAATGCAGCACGTGTGTGCAGCAGAGCCAAACGTGTGTGCATTCTGCACAGCTGCATGCACAGGGCCATGCACACACAGCCATGCGTGGACGGCACAGCAGCACATGCAGCGTGTAGCCAGGTGTACGTGTATACCTGCATGTAGTGTTGTGCACACCCAGCCCACCCATGTGCGCGCACTTTCACATGTGTGTGAGCAGATACACATGCACAGATTCCTGCAGCCCAGCGCACACATGCTCACGGGTGTGCAGGAGGGGACATGCAGGCGTGCAGCACGGCTGGCGTGTGCAGCATTGCTGGTGCACACCCCTCCACCCCTGTGTGCTTCAGACTGCAGCCACACTCACCGTGCGCTTGTGCACACACAGATGTGCATACGTGACCATGCACTTGTGCACACACAGATGTGTATGTGTGCCCACAGATGTGCATGTGCACTCAGACGTGCACATGCATGCACAGCTGGGCTCAGCCCTGTGCTCCCCCACTGCTGAGCACCCCTGGGGGCTGCAGCATCGGCCACCCGGGATGGGAGCCCAGCAGAACCCTGCAGCCCAGCCCAGTTCCCGCTCCCCACAGGCTCCCCGCTGGCAGAGCACTGGCTGTCCCGCCTGGGCAGCGACACGGGGGACACCGCAGCTGCCCGGCCCTCCCTGCTGGGCACCCACCACGCCACTGCCGCCCAGGAGAAAGGTGATGCTGAGCACCCCTTCCCCACCCCAGCACCCCAGGGGCCTCCCGCATCCTCCTGCTTCACTCGTGTCTGTCACTGCAGGTGGCTTCGAGGCCAGGCCCTTTGTGCGGGGCGTCCAGCGCCGCAGCGCCAGCGCCCAGCTCTCTGCCACTGGTGGCCGGTCCCTCGCGTGCCAGGAGCAGGGCCCGGGGGAGCTCGTGGCCTACCTGGAGTCGGGGCGCCGGCCCCGCTGCACGCAGCGCTCGCTGCTCCCGCTCGGCACGGGGGGCACCCACCTGGCACAGCCCGGCACCCCCCGAGCCCCCCGCCAGCCCCTGCGCGTGCCCGCGCTGCGGCGAGCGGCCAGCGCCGGTCCCGAGGGGTCCCTGCGTGTGCCCCCCAGAAGCCAGAGCAGGAGGGGCGCGGGGGGGCTGCCGCGGGCAGAGGGGGATTGGGGTGACCCCCCCGCGCAGCCGTCCCCCAGCCTGGCAGCCTTGGTGCACTCGCGGAGCTTGGCCAGCCTGACCCTGCACCGCGACGGGGGGCTGCGGCGCTCGGCCTCCCTGGGCAGGGGCACGGGGGGGCCGCCCCTGCCTGCCTGGGGTCCCCCTGGGTCCACGCTGCGGCGGGGACGGCGGCTCACAGGCTCCCTGCAGCGCCCGGCCGTGCCCGAGTCCAGCTTCTGAGCCGTGGCCGGTGGGCATCGCCCTGGGGCCCCTGCCGTGGGGGCTCCCAAGCTGGGGGCGTGTCTGAGCCAGCGGATCCCAAACAAGGGTCGTGCTGAGCCGGGAACATCCCAGCCTGGGGGCATCCCAGTCCAGACAGTCAGATATCCCTAAGATGGATCATCCCAAACCATGGGAGGGCCTCCCAAACAGGGAGCATCCCAAACCTGCCAAATGAAGGCATCCTGATTTGGGGCTCCCAAACCAGGGACTTCCTGAACCAAGGGCATCCTGAGCTGGAGGCTCCCAGCCCAGGGGCTACTGACCTTGGGGGAATTCCAAACCAGGGTATCCCAGCCCAGCGGCTCCCCAACAGGGGCCGTCCCGAACTGGAAGCTCCCGAACGGGAATCCTGACCTGGGGGCTCCCAAATGGTGGCATGCTGACTCAGGGCAGCCCGACCCAGGGGCATTCCAAACTGGGGCGTCCCCAGCTGCGTGTTCCTGACCTGGGGACATCCCAATCTGGTGGCTCTGAAACCAGGGGCATCCCAAGCCAGGAGTATCCTGAGCTAGGAGCACCACTCGCCCACCTGCCCATGCCCCTTCCCATGGAGCAGGCGGGCAGGGGCTCCCCAGCCCTGCCAGCTCTAAGGCACAAGAGTATTTATTGTAGTGGGAGAGTTTTATTCAGGTGCTTTTTGTTTTCCAAAAGGCAGCTGCTGGGGGGCTGGGGGTCCCCACACCACACTCTATGCAACCCACGATTCCTCCAGCCAGCTTTTGTACACAGGGGCTGCTGCCCACAGCACACCATTTCTATTAAAGACACTGAAAGGAGCCCAGTGTGCTGTCTGGAGATGGCGTCCAGGAGTGGGAAGGGCGTTGTGTCCCATACAGAGGTGGTCCTGGGGCTGTGGTGCCCCAGGGTGGTGGGCATCACCCTGGGCGTGGGGCTTGGCAGGGTCGCTGCTGGCCAGAGCCTGCCTTGGCACAGCCGCGTGTGGGCTGGGAGGTGGCAGTGCCAAGAGCACCAGTCGTGGTGCCCTGTGGCCATGCCTGGCAAGGCAGAGGAAGGCAATGTCTGGAGAAACAGTGGCAGGCAGGGATGGAGATGGAGGAAGTGAGATCAGGCTGGAGAGAAAGGTGGAGGCAGCTGGAGGAGGTGGAGGTACATGGGAGAGGAAGGGGGGTACAGGAGGTAGACCTGAAGGTGGGATCAGGGTGCAGGAGACAGAGGGGTGTGGAGGAGGTCAGACTGGGGTGGAGATGGAGGAGATGAAGGTGGAAGTGGAGGACATAGGTGTGGATGAGGTGGGATGGAGATGGAGGAGACAGGGACAGAGATGAAGAGATGGAGGTGGAAGTAGAGATGGAAGTAGGACTGGGATGAGGTGGAAGAGGAGGAAGAGATGAAGGTGAGGGAGACCATCCCTTACTGGAGGCTTGCTTCAGTCTAAGGCCCTTGCTCTGCCACTGCTGTGCCCTGGCTGTTAACCCTGCTTTGTGTCAGCGAACAAATGTGGGGTTGTCCCCCATGTGCCACCCTGGTAAGCAGCAGCCCTGGGCATGGCAGGTTCCTCAAGGCACCCAAGGGCTGCTGGCAGTGGCATGGGCAGGACACCCACATGCACCCCACAACAGCAGCTGGGAGGGGGTGGGAGCCCCAGTGCAAGTGGTCATCCCTGTGCTACGCCTTGAGGACCTTGTGCCACACTGCCAAGCTCCATGGGTGGCATCCCCACAGACAGCCCCCACCATCCCATGGGGAATGGGGTAAAAGATGTGGCTTGGCCAGGTTGTAGACCCGCTCCAGTGATGCACCGAAGTGTGGGCAGAGCACTATCCCTTCCCTGGCACCCATGTCTGCCTGCAGGCAGCAGCATCTGGAGTATCCACTCCCTGTGATCCATGGACATGCCCCTTCATACCCTGGAAAGTGGGGTCCCAGCCCTCACCCCATCCCACCAGGCTGGGGTAGGCCTTGGTGCCAGACAAGGTCATCGCTGCCCACCCTCCACCATGGTGCTCCTCTCCACACGTGCTGCTCAGCCCCAAAACACAGGCAGGACCTGCCACAATAGGGTGGGTGGGTGCCTGTTGGGCACCTACCCCAGGACTGGAACCACCCCAAGCCTGATGCCCCACCCCATTGGATCAGGACCATGACAGCCCACACAAAGCACAAACCCACAGTTCTATCACTCCATCCCTCATTAAAACTCATTTCCTACAGCAAAACACCTTCCAAGAGCTAGGGGGACCAGCCCAGAATCCAGGCTGGGACACTTCAGGTCCAATGAGGCCCCATCCCATGGGACCAGGAGCATGACAGCCCATACAAAGCAGAATCCCCATCATTTTATCACCCCAGCCCTCATTAAACCCAGTTTCCTACAGCACCTTCCAAGAGCCTATGTCCTAAATCCAACAGTGGGCACCAAGCCAGGCTGGGACCACCCCAAATCTAGGCTGGGGCCAGCTCAAATCCATCCTAGGAGGATCCCACAGCTGGTGCTGCCCCATCCCCTGGGACCAGGACCACAACATCCTGCACTGACCCTACTGTTTCCTGTGTCCCAACCCTCCTGCATCCCCACATCCTCCCACTAAGCCCCCCAGTGCCTCAGCTGCCATGGTGCCGATGGGCATTAAGCAAACGCCAGTGCTGCCGGGCAGTTCCCAGCGAGTGGCACATGGATTTATTGATTACTTTTGGGGTGCTGGTGCCCCCAGGGGCCCACCTGGGGCAAGGGGCATGGTGCGAGCGGGGCGGGGGCGAAGCACGGCCATTTCCATCCTCCTGCTGGGCACTGGGTGGGCGAGAACGGCTCCAAATAAAACAAATCTCTATATTTTTTCTCTCTATAGATACAAATATATAGTATATGTATCTCTGCCGATATATATATATATATCTTATCTCTCTGGGAAGGATAAAAGGTTAATTTGTCTTTGCATGCACAACCAAAGCCACCAACCCACAGGGACAATGGGTGCCAAGGGACACGTGCCCTTCCCCGCTGGCACCCCAAAAGCCTGAGGGGGGCACATCCTGTTATTGCTGATCAGGTCCCGTCCTGCTCCGGCAAACAAGCGGAGGGGGCAGAAGCTGAAGAAATGAAATCCTGCTGCAAAGCACCATCGAGCTCATTGTCACCTGGCTGGTACCCAGTGGCACCCACCATCAGGGCACGGAGGAGGTGGTGGCATCACCCCAGGACCATGGGTGCTGCGGGGCAAGGGGGGGGAGGGGCAGGCACCCTGTTGAAAGGCAAAGTCTGGATAAGGCAAAAAGAAACTGAACTCAAAACCAGCGACTGCCCCCAAACTGGGCACTTTGCCACACGAAACTGCCGTGCCAGTGACCCTTGGTGCCGACGGCTGGTGCTGGCCCCTGGGTGATGCAAGGATGAGCTTGGGGACAGGGACACTGTCATAGGGCTGTGCTCTCCGATTCCTCCTCCTCCTCTGGCCGGGCAGCCGGGCCTGGCCCCGAGAGTCTCTGCGGTGCCTCCAGCGGGTCCCGGCACAGGGCGGCATCTGGGGGGACGTGGAGGGAAGGGACCTCAAAACGGAGCAGACCTGCAGGAGGGCAGAGTGATGGGGGACACCACAGCGGGAGCTTGGCGGTAGGACACCCTGCCAAGGGCTGGTGCCATGGTAGTGCCACCACCAGGGATGTCACCACTTGTCCCTGCTCTGTGCTACCCCACCCGAGCCGGAGCCTGTGACACCAGCACACGGCCTGTCCCCCACGATGCTCTGGTTCCCTCCCACCAAGCACAGGTGGTGCTGCTGTCCCTTCTCCCAAGGGACCTGCAGAGTGAAACAGTGACACAGGGTGACCTACAGCCCGAGGCTGGTGGTGTCACCACCGTCCCTTGTTGAGAGCCCAGCAAGAACACCTGAGGAAAAGCACCCCTGCCTGTGCCTGCCAGGCCCTGCGGCCAGCTCAGGCACTCCGCAATGGGCAGCAGCTCCTCAGGGCACCCAGCAAAGAGCTGCACCCATGCTGGGGTGCAATGCCAGGGTGCACCGATGCCAGGGTGCAATGCTGTGGTGCAATGCTGGGGTACACCAGTGCTAGGCAGTGATGCCTGGGTGTGATGTCCAGGCTGCACCAGTGCCAGGGGGCAATGCCAGGGTGCTGTGCCAGGGCTACAACGACTGGGGTGCAAGACCGGGACTGCACATGATGCTGGATGCGATGCCAGAGCTGCACCGATGCCAGAGCCGCCACTGAAGGTGAGCAGCAGCCCAGGGAGTGCCAGCCCCGGTTCAGTGGATGCCAGGGTCCTGCTGTGCCCACACTGTGCCATCCCGCTCCAGGCAGGCTGGGCACACGGCAGAGCAGAGCACCCATGGTCAGCATGGGCAGAGCTGGGAGCTCCCAGCTGTGCCTGGCCCCATGCTACCCCGGCCTGTGTCCCTTGTGTCCCTGATGACATCAAAGCATCTCCCTGTTCATCCCCCTCAAAGGATGCAGCCCCCACTGCTGTAGGAACACCGGGGTGGTGGGACACATGGAGACACGAACACCACCTAAGGACAGGGACAGCACAGCAGGAACAGCGGCGGGACAGGCTCGTGGTGCTTCCCAGAGATAATGCCACCTTCCGAGGGTCATCAACACCTTCTGTAGGGTGCCTACACTTTCCAAGTGACAGTCCCACCTTTCCAAGGACATTGTCACTTTCCTGGGGACACTGCAGCCTTTCTGGACACATCTGCACCTTTCTCAGGGGGACACCTCCATCTTCCTCAGGATGCCGCCTTCACGCAGACATCATCACCCTCCTGGTGACAGTTCCACCTTTCCAGGGAGACAGCTACATTTCCAGGGACGCTGACACCTTCCTGAGTACATCATTACCCTCCCAGGGTCATCACCACCATCTCAGGGATATCACAACTTTCCCGGGAACAGTTCTTCCTTTCCAGGGAGGATGCCTCCTTCTCGGGGACATCACCACCTTCCTGAGCACATCACCACCTTCCTGGGGACATCACCACCTTCCTGAGCACATCACCACCTTCCTGAGCACATCACCACCTCCCTGAGCACATCACCACCTTCCTGGGGACATCACCACCTTCCTGAGCACATCACCACCTTCCTGGGGACATCACCACCTTCCTGGGGACATCACCACCTTCCTGAGGACATCACCACCTTCCTGGGGACATCACCACCTTCCTGAGCACAACACCCCCTTCCTGAGCACATCACCACCTTCCTGAGCACATCACCACCTTCCTGGGGACATCACCAACTTCCTGAGCACATCACCACCTTCCTGGGGACATCACCACCTTCCTGAGCACATCACCACCTTCCTGGGGACATCACCACCTTCCTGAGGACATCACCACCTTCCTGGGCACATCACCACCTTCCTGAGCACATCACCACCTTCCTGGGCACATCACCACCTTCCTGGCCACATCACCACCTTCCTGGGGACATCACCGCCTTCCTGGGGACATCACCGCCTTCCTGAGCACATCACCGCCTTCCTGGGGACATCACCACCTTCCTGGGGACATCACCACCTTCCTGAGCACATCACCACCTTCCTGGGGACATCACCACCTTCCTGGGGACATCACCACCTTCCTGAGCACATCACCACCTTCCTGGGGACATCACCACCTTCCTGAGCACATCACCACCTTCCTGAGCACATCACCACCTTCCTGGGCACATCACCACCTTCCTGGGGACATCACCACCTTCCTGAGCACATCACCACCTTCCTGGGGACATCACCACCTTCCTGAGCACATCACCACCTTCCTGGGGACATCACCACCTTCCTGGGGACATCACCACCTTCCTGAGCACATCACCACCTTCCTGGGGACATCACCACCTTCCTGAGCACATCACCACCTTCCTGAGCGCATCACCCCCTTCCTGGGGACATCACCACCTTCCTGAGCACATCACCACCTTCCTGGGGACATCACCACCTTCCTGAGCACATCACCACCATCCTGAGCACATCACCCCCTTCCTGAGCACATCACCACCTTCCTGGGGACATCACCACCTTCCTGAGCACATCACCACCTTCCTGGGGACATCACCGCCTTCCTGAGGACATCACCACCTTCCTGAGCACATCACCACTTTCCTGGGGACATCACCACCTTCCTGAGCACATCACCACCTTCCTGGGGACATCACCACCTTCCTGGGGACATCACCACCTTCCTGAGCACATCACCACCTTCCTGGGGACATCACCACCTTCCTGGGGACATCACCACCTTCCTGAGGACATCACCACTTTCCTGAGCACATCACCACCTTCCTGAGCGCATCACCCCCTTCCTGGGGACATCACCCCCTTCCTGGGGACATCACCCCCTTCCTGGGGACATCACCACCTTCCTGAGCACATCACCACCTTCCTGGGGACATCACCGCCTTCCTGAGGACATCACCACCTTCCTGAGCACATCACCACCTTCCTGGGGACATCACCACCTTCCTGAGCACATCACCACCTTCCTGAGCACATCACCCCCTTCCTGGGGACATCACCCCCTTCCTGGGGACATCACCCCCTTCCTGGGGACATCATCTCTTCCAGAGGGTGCTGTCACTTTCCCAGTGACAGTCCCAGTTCTCCACGGGCACCGCCACCTTCCTGAGCCCGCTGCCACCTTTCCAGGGGCATCACCCCCTCCCCGGGGCCACCAGCAGCCGCCCCCCCCGCGGGGTTACCTGTGACGGCGCCGTCCCCGGGGCCCGCGGTGTCCCGGCGGGGCAGCTCCGGGGGCTGGGGGGGGCCGGGGGCGGCCGCGGGGGGCTGCGGCGGCGGGGGCAGGGCGGGCCGCGGCCGCGGCTTCGGGGTGGGCCGGGAGCGGGCGGCGGCGTTGGCGGGGGGGGGCAGGAGCGGGGCGGGCGGCGGGCAGGGCCCGGGGGGCGCGGCGGGGCCGAACGCGGCGGGGGTGCTGGGGGGGGTGGGGGAGAGGCTGCCGGGGGACGGCTGCCCCCCCCCCGGCTCCCCCGCGGCCGCCCGCGGCGGGATGGGCGCCAGCTTCTTGGCCACTGCGAGAAGAGACAAGGGGGGGTCAGGGTGCCGCGGGTCACACCGAGCGCGGGGACCCCTCCCGGATCCCCCCCCCACCCCCGGCCCGCTCCTACCTTTGCGCGGGGCGAGCGGGCTCTGCTCGGCCGGGACCGGCCCGGGGCTGCCGTGGAGCTGCCCGGCCCCGGGGGGGAGCTCCGGGGGTCCGAGAGTGCTGGGGCGGGGGTGGGAGGGAAGGTAAAAAAGGGGAAAAGGGGAAGGGAAAAGGAGGGTGAGGAGGAGACGGGGAAGGTGGGGAGGGGAAGGGCAAGGGGGATGGAGGGCAAGGGCAGGAGGAAGGGGAAGGGGAAAGGAAAAGGGAAGGTGATGGAAGGGAAAATAATCAAAAAAAGAAAAAATAAATTGATAAAAAGCAAATTCAAAATAGGCAATTAAAAATAATTTAAAATCATCATGCAAAATGAAAATTAAAAAAAAATGAAAGAATGTAAAATTGAAAACCAAAATGGAACAAAATAAAGAAAACAATAAAATACAAAGTAAACAAATACCAAAAAAAATCAAAAAAGAAAACAAACAACAAAAAAGCAAAACTTGCAAGAAAAACTAAATAAAAACCCACAGTTTTTTTTTTTAAATTAATAGGAATAAGAACTGAAAAGGGACATGACCCCCCCGCAGGCAGCGGCAGGAGCCTCGCTCCAGCCCAGCGGGTGTTTCTCAGCCCCCAGCCCACCTGCAGCGCCCACCAGCCCCCGGTCTGCGGTTCCCCGTTTCCTGTGGCTCCCGGGGGAGCAGCAGCACTGTGCAGGGGGGGCTCAGGGAAAGCCCTCTGGGGGCAGTGAGGGTGCGAGGCTGACACCAGGGTGAGGGGAGAGCAGCAAGGGGAAGGCTGGGTGGGGGGAGGCTCTGGCTGCAGCCCAGCCGGGGGGGCTGTGCCCAGGCATGGGGCCGGGGAGCCACTGGTGCGTGGGGCAGGGGCGGGGATGAAGCCAGGCTCCCCAGCCCTGCTGCAGAATGGCCAGAAACACCCTAAAAAGAGGCAGAAAAAATCCCCCAGAAAATAAGGGAAAAAGTAATGAAAGAACAGAAGCACTGGGAGGGGAGGAGGGGAGGAGGGGAGGGCAGGGGATTGCTGCGGTGAAGGTCTCGGGGTGGGGCAGGAGCCCCTCACCTCATCCTAGCACTCCACAGCATGACCCATGCAGCGCTGCCACCCACACCCATGGGTGCGCCCCGGAGCACAGCACGTCTCACAGATGGCTGCAGAGCCCAGCCCATCATTCTGGGGTAGAAATTTGGAATTCGGGTACTTTCTCCACCTGACCTCTCAAGTCAGGCACAGACCTTGGGCAGAGGAAGGGCGCAGGGGACACTGGGCTCCTTTAGGCTTTTCCTTGCATCTCCTTCCATCACCAGCACAAAATTCATTCCAGCTGTGAGCCAGGCTGGGGACCCACAGGAAAATCCACCATTCCCACGAGGCCAGCAGGATGGGGATGTTGCGATGGCTACAGGGATGCTGAGCATCCTCCCACTGCCCCAGGATACTGCTCCTCTCCCGGGGATGCTGAGCATCCTCTCCCACTGCCTCCAGCGTGGCCATGGGGCTGGTTTGCTGCTGCACACATTGGGAGGGATGCCCAGGTCAGGGACCCAGGGGTGCCGGTGGCCTTACCTTGTCCGCTCAGCTCCCGGGGGGAAGCCAAAGCTGGTGGGAGGCGGGGAAGGGGTAGCGGACGTGTCCAGCGCTTGCTCGGGAATGGGTGAGTGGGGCGCGGGGGGCAGCTCTGAGGGCGGTGCAGGCGGCTGCATGGCTGGCGGGGTGGAGGCTGTCTTGCGTGCCGCAGACGTGCCTCGGCGAGCCACCCACGAGGTGTCCATCACCCTGACGCCCATGCTGTGGGGACACAGAGACAGGCTCTCAGCACCCACCCTCCAGCTCCCTAAAGATGCCTCTTCTACTGGGAAGTTGCTGGGAATGAACCTCCATGGCAATAGGGCAGGGGTGGTAGTGGGATTCACCCCGTATCCCTCCCCCAGGTACCAGCATTCTCTCAGCAACCACCCCGCATCCTCCCAGCACCTTCCCAGCACTGCTGCAGAGGATACAGTACCTTTGGATTTTCCTAAGGCTGCATGGACAGAAACACAAGATTGTTAGTTTAAAATGACAGTGCCATCCCTCCCTCTTCCCAAACCCAGCACCACAAAGACCCTACCCATCCTTCTTGTAAAACTCCAGCATCATGTTGTCTGTAGCCACGCTAAGGGGCCGTCGTGCCTGGTCATGCTGCCGGCGGTCTGCGTGGTCCATGTCTGGGGAGGGCATGGAGCTGTAGTTGGCATTGTGGTTGATGTGCATGGGACTGCCGTAGTTGCCAGTCACATTGAACTCAATGTCTGAAGGAGAGAAAGGAGAAGAGGGGACATCGGGACCTGTGTCCTCAGGGAGGGGTGGAGGTGGGGGATCAGCACAGCAAGAATGCTCAGGCGGGCATGGAGCAGCTGGGTTGGGCTCACTGGTGTGATGAGTCTTGCCAGATCTCTGCCAGAGCCTCCCCCCTCCCCAAACCAAAGCAGGCAGAGGGGGCTGGCAAAAATCAATGTGGGAACTCAGCACTCACTCCCAGGGAGGGCTGTGGTGTCCCACAAAGCCCATCCCACCCCGCCACGACCATTGCACACAGCCTACCTCCGGGGAAGAACCAGTCGGCATGCTGGATGAGTGGCTCAATGATCCCCACGATCTGCAGTGAGACGGTTGTCATCATCTCTGTCATGTTCCTGCAGGGCAGCAGGGATGGGCTCAGCACCCCACTGCAGTCCAGCCTTATTCCCGGCAGGATTTTGGCCCCAGGCCCCCCCACACCATTTCCCCAGCATCCCTCTGGCATGCTCACTTTCCACCCGGATACCTTACCCGTCCGCCTGCGGCCACAGAAGGTTGGGCCCCAGCACGATGGCCACATTGCTCGGTGTCATTTTATTCATGTCCTGGTACTCGGTCAGCTTGGCCAGGAATTTAATCACGTACCTGGAAATCGGAGCCCAGCCATGCTGGTGTATCAGAGCCACGTCTCCACCATGGCCTCCCCGGGCCCTGCTGGCCCCAGGCTCACCTGATGTTGTTGTAGTTGGCTTTGGGCAGCTTCTCGCAGGTGTTCCAGAGAGCCTGCAGCCGCTTCTCCTGCTCCGGGATGCTGCGGGGAGGTGGGTGAGAAGTTTCTCTCTCATCCCTGTGCCTGACATCCCACTACAGCAAACATCTGCCTCGGTGGAGGAGGCATGATGGTGCCACCTCAGCTGGCCCAGTCCTTGATGGGTTTGGTGGTTCCACGGTGCGGAGCACACCAACAACACAGGTGGGAGTTCCCTTGGCCAGTGGTCCCCCAGGGTCTGCACACTCATCCAGACAGCACCAGTGCCTGGCACTCAAGGGCTTGCTGAAAGATGCTGTGAAAGCTCAATCACCTCGGTCAGTGTGCTCTGGGCCATGCTGGGGACATCAGGGGACATCATGGCCACCCTCATTGCTGGGACCCACTGTGCTCAAGGATCATTGTGAGAACCCTCCTGGCTCTCAGACCCTGGAGGAAACATCCCAAACGCTGTCAGCCAAGACCGAAATAACTCATGGTCCCCAACCATCCACGGGGACCAAAGATGCCACCACCTGTGTCACAGAGAAACAGGGGGGATACCCCAGACTCACTTGGAGGCCTGGATCCACTCCTCATACAGCTCAAATGTCATGAGGGGTTCTGGCAGCTCTCGCAGGTAGGACTTGAGGGCTCCTGCAGCACACAAGGGACACAGGGCTCGACACTGCAGGTGGCACCAGATGGTGGGCACAGAGTGGTTTTGCTCCTTGGCATTTTGATTCCCACCCCTCCCAAATTTAACACATCCCAAAGCACCCTCTAGTCTCCCTGGCTTGGTGGAGCCTATGGCATTGCCTGACCCCCTGCAACCACCTTGCCACCTTCAGCTAGTCCCTCCTAGCACCTCTCTGAATCCCTCCATCATTCTTGCCCCCATCAGGTGTTCACCCTGGTCTCCATCCTTCATTTTTGCCTTGGACCTTCACAACTTGTGCTGGGAAAAGGTTCCCATTGAAGTCAACAGGAATCCAGGGTCCAATTCTGCGGCTGCCAGAAAGCCCCAGCCCAGGAGAGCAGCTGGCTAGCATTTAAACCTAATAAATGCTTAACTGCAGTCCCATGGGTTGGGATCTCTGCTTAGAGAGGGCTTACATCCCAGAAGAGGTAAAGAGAAGACAGCAAGCTTGATGAGACCACATGTGCATCTTCCCGACTACTCCCTACTCCTGCAGAGATTCTCCTGATCAGTATCACCAGGGCCCCACCACCTGGATTACGATTGTGTTCCTATTTTCTTTCTCACCTGAGTTCCAAAACACTGCTCAAGCCCCTGCCTGGGGAAGGGGACATGGTGGTTGGGGTTTGTGCTCCTTCATGTATGGCAACTCCTGAAAGCCTGAACACCACTGCCACTGAACGGTGTATTTCTGCACCTGCTTTGTCCCCTGTATATTGTGTCTTCACTGTTCAAAGGCTTTGGGACAAATCACAGAAGGGCTGAGGTTGGGAGGGACCTCTGGAAGTTGTCTGGTCTAAACCCCCACTCCAGCAGGACCACCAGAACTGGTTGCTCATTATTGTGTCCTGGTAGCTTTGGAGTATCCTCAAGAATGGAGACTCTGCCACCTCCTTGGGCACAGCCTGTGCCAGCCCTTGGTCACTTGCACAGTGACCAAGTGTCTCCTGAGGTTCAGAGGGAAGCTCCTGTTTGTGCCCACTGTCCTGGAACTGGGCACCATTTGAAAGAGCTCTGTCCTCTTTGTACCCACCCTGCAGGTACATCCATTGATGACATCTTCCTGAGCCTTCTCCTCACCAGGCTGAACAGTCCCAGCTCCTTCAGCCTTTCCTCCCAGGAGAGATGTTCCAGGCCCATCTTCACAGCCTTTCATTGGGCTCCCTGCACTATGTCCACTTTCCTGCTGTAATGCTCTGAAGTGGAAGGATCACCTCCCTTCACTGGCTGGTATCACTCCTCTCAGTGCAGGCCAGAACACCATTCACCTTCAGTGTGCCACAAAGGCACGTTGCTGGCTCATGGTCAGCTTGGTGGCCACCAGCACCCCCAGGGCTATCTCCGCCAAGCCACTTTCCAGCTGGGCAGCTCCAGTATGTCCTGGTGCCTGGGGCTCCTCTTCCCCAGGGGCAGGACTTGGCACTTCCCCTTGCTGAACTTTACCAGGTCTCTCTCAGCCCACCTCTCCACTGTGCCCAAGTCCCTCTGGACGGCAGCACACCTCTCAGTTTGGTGTCATCTGCCAACCTGCAGAGGGTCCACCCTGCCCCATCCATCATCCACATCATGAATGAAGGTGTCAATCAGGATTATACCTGGCATGAACCCCTTGCCTACACCACTGGTTACTGGCCTCCAAGTAGACTTTGTGCCACTGATGACCACTCTCTGGGTGCCCATAGCTGGTGCTTGGGGGCTGGATGGGCCACCCTACACAGCACCAACCCCCTGCCCCGAGGCAGCATCTACCTGCGATGGCATGTGGGTCAGCTGAGTACTCCTGCACATCCACCACGCAGCAGTCCAGGGCAGCTTTGAGCTTCTTCAGCTTGGAGGCCGAGGGAGCGACTCGGAAAAGACCCTTCACAGAGGATACAGGAAAGCGTCGGACAACCTTTGGGACAGGTGAATGTCCTCCAAACCCCCTGGCTCCTTGCCCCTGCCTTGGAGGTTTCCAAGTCCACTTCCACCATGCCCAACCGAGGGTGGTAGGACATGGGACCCACCTCCTCCTGCATGCCGCACTCCAGGAGCATCGTCACGCATGCCTCCACAGGAAAGGCGATCTCCCGCCCGCTGACAGCCAGGTGCTCCTCCAAGGGCTTCCCGAAGGAGGGCTTTTCCATCCATGCCTCTGTGACAGGCAGAGGGGGTGAGAGAAGGGGGGGAGGACATGGCGGGGACGGTGCCGGATACAGCATCTGCTCCCCAAAAAGCCCTTGGATCACAGCATTTCAGCAGCAAAATATTCCATTTGGGTGTTGCTAAAACAACAGGACCCCGCACCTCTGTCCTGGGTGGCTCGGGAAGTGCTTTTTAAAGATGAAATCCAAACAAAATGTTTTCCAATCATCACACGGGACATTTCAAAGGGGCTGGATAACGTTTTCCGGGGGAACAACCACAGGCAAACCTTTGCAATATTTTCCCCCTTCTTCCATCACAGTTTGAGGCAGGAATATTTTGTGGGATCGAGAGAAAGAAAATAAAATACAAATCACTCCCTGCCCTGCTGCAGCAGCACCCCAAGCCCTGCCCCGGGGAACGTGCTGCTCTTGGGGCCACCGCACTGGGTGGTGGCCCCAGCCCTGACCTCTGCCTCCCAGCCCAGCTCCTTTGAAGGTCTCACACTGGAAAGTGCAGCCCCAGGAGTCCCCCTTGGCACTGAATTCCCACCTCTGGTGTTGCACGTGATGGGAATAGTCGGGCAGGTTTCCCTTCCCCCACCCCCATGAAGCTGGCTGGATCCTGCCCCCCACAACCAAGTGGGATGGGGATGGGACGGCCTCCGCAGGGCTGAGGCAGGCGGGGTGCAGGTGGAGCAAAGGGAGGATGCTCAGGTGCCACGCCGGGGGGGGGGGGGGGCACACTGGAGCTGGCTCATCGCTGTGGCAAAGCCCTGCATGGCTCTGGCGTGATGCAGAGCCCTCAGCGCTGTGTGCAGGAGGGGACAGGCACTTACCCTGCTGGGCTTTAATCTGAGGCAGGACACTCTGCAGCAGCGCTAGGGATTTCCGGTGGTATTCAGCCTGCACCTCGATGAGCTGCGGGGACACAGCAGCGGCTGTCACCCTGCGGCCACGCTGCAGCAGTCCCGCAGGGTGAGTGGCACTTACCGTTTGGAAATAGTTTGCATAGTCTACTTCTTTGGCCACAAAATTGTACATATCAGCCGAGAGCTGGTCCTATGGAGAGCAGAGAATAAGTTGCTGTCCCATCCATTCTGCCCTCATGCCACCATGATGGCCCTTTTGGAGGCCACCAGGAGGGACCAGCTTGGTCACAGCAGGAGCCAATATGCAATCTGGCACACTGCAGCACCCACTCGAGAGGTGCTTGGCATGTTGAATACATGGCAGCAGCATGGGGGTTTGCTCTCTGCCCATCCTCAACCTCCCTCGTCTTCCTTCCAGAGCCCACAAGGAGCCGGCGACTTGCAAGGAGCTCCCTGCATGTGACAGTCACGTGGGGACAACCTGTCAGCCAGAGGGTGCACATCCTGGCGGGCTGAATGGCACAAATTAAACCTCAAGTTTGCTCATCCCGCAACCTCATTACATTGCTCCTCACGTGCAAGGGGCTCATTAACCCCAGACCTAATTGCTGTGCCATGGAGCAGTGTGCACTGCCGCTGGTAGTATCCCAACCACTTGGTGTGGATCAGACTGATGGGGCATCAGGTGCTTCTTGCTCTGCATTGCAACGAGCCCCTCAGCACCAGGATATGAGTCTCTCTGTCCTCATGGTCACAAAATAGATTTTGCCACTTCCTGAATTGCTCCTTTCTGAGAATCCCCTTGCTTCACCCAGCAGGACGAAAATCACCAGGGTTTTAAAACACTCTGAGCGTGTCCCAGCTGCAACATCACCATCAGTGCAGTCAATATATGGGGGCAGCACCTGGCTGAGCTGGTTTGCTGAAAATTGCTGGGCATGTGGGGCTGTGATGCTCTAAGATGGGGGAGATGGCGCTGTTTTGGGGCTACATTTGTCTGAAAGGCCACTCGGGTCCTGGTTGTACCACTGGAGGAAAATGCCAGGTTTGAGACATGCACCCAGCTCCACCTCCTGCCCAACACCTGCAGCACCAGCTCTGCCTGGGCCTTTGCATTTTCTGCCCTGGGGGAATTTAAAGCCACACAAAATTGTCTGTGAGTTTTATTGCTGGCTCCTGCAGCCTGTGATGAAGGCTCTGGCAGCAGCATCCCCTCTCAGACACTTTTCCCACCCAGCATGCCCAGTTGGGGGCCATGCTCCTGTGGGATTGTGGGGGGTGACGTGGTCGGGTACAACAGGCGGGCTTGGAATGTGCTGGCACTTCCTGCAAGTCCCTGTGCCAGGACTGGGCATACTTAGTGCTGAGCTCAGTGGCTCCTGCTGGGATGGGTCCATTGGGAATGGGATGCTCTGGCTCCACCAGGACATGGAGCATGGGGACACAGGAACCATGGATGTCCTTCTTGGCCTGGTGAGCATCACCCACTGCCACCAGGCTGCTTTATGTTTTTTTTTTTACCAGCCAGGCTGGTAAATAGGGTAAGAAGAGGGTGAAGAATGGGATAAGAAGAGATACTGAAGGCTTTTCCACAGTGCTCAGACACCACGGTCCCCCCATGCCAGCAAGGAGCAATCCCCCAGGTACCCTGCAGATCTCCACTCTGTTGGCCGCCTCCTCCATCTCCTCCCTGAGAGCATCGGCTTTGGCACCCGAGGGCTGCAGGTTGCTGGCCAAACCCGAGGACTTGGCAGACTGCTGCCACCTGCGGAGAGGGCAGAGCTGTCACAGCGAGGGACAGGGACCCAACAGAGCCCTGGATCCCAGCCACAGGGCAGTCCAGGGACTCCCCTCAGCCAAGACTACCATGGTTCCCAGTGCTCAGCACCATGCAGATGGTCCAACCTAGACTGGGAGGCAGTGTCTACTCCCAGCCCCAAACATCCCCAGTCCCAACCAGCTGCAAGCACTGGGCTCTCCTTACACAATTATTTTCAGAAGGACAAGTCCCATCCAGATGGGAGGAGAAAAGAAGGCAATGGGAAAGCCTGGACATGATACTGGTGATTACAGACACTTCCCAGAGCCCACCAACTGGATGTCCCCAGGCAAAACCCAAAGAGCAGCCAACCCCAAGGGTCATCCCTGCTCCACCCCAGCAGTACTCTACAGTGGTAGGAGTGCCCAACTCTGCATTATGTAAGAACTCACCAAGATAGGGAAAAGAGTTAAAAACAAAGATTTATGCCAGAAAAAAAATACTCTTTTCTGCAGAGGGCAGGCAAGGCAAAGTGATCTACAGATCCTGCAGACAGGATGAGAAATCTTGGCTCACTGAAGAGCTTGAACTCAAGGCACACAGTGACACAGCCCTCCCTGGCACTAGTAAAAGTACCCATCACTTGGTTATTTTTAGTTTTTATAAAGCAGTTTTGAAGCTGCTTCCTACCTTGTCCTGGAGGAGTCCATATCCAGCACGAGCTTTGCCAAGTGCTTCCTCTGCTTTTGGATATTTGGGATTTCCACCTGCAGAAACACACAGGAACGGGAGGCGATAAACGTCCCCGGAGAGACACTGGGGACAGGTCATGCCTGACTGCAGTGCTGGAGCTGGGGTGGTACAAGTGGGGCGGTAAGATGCAGCTCCTTACTTTAACATCATTAGGAAGACGGCACAGCTTGTCCCTCCTCCATGTCTCCACCCGGGCTGTGCCACCCCCTGACAGCCCCGACCACAGAATCCACACCCCTGAGAGGAGCATCCTTGGGGGATCAAAGATTTCTGCACTGAGGAGCAGGATGAAGGCAGGAAAAGGGCTTTTGGGGGTGGCAATGCAAAGGCCATGCACAGGATGGTTTGCCAAAGGATCTGGTAATGGCCGAAAGCCCCAAACACAAGCAATGAGACAGAGCTCTTGTTTCTGCTGGGGGAGACAAAATCCGAACCAAGCCAAGAACATTCTGCCAAAGGGGAAAAAAAGATGCACTGCGTAAAATTGAAAAAGTTGGCAGCAGGGGGGAAGCGGGCAAAAAACCTTCCCAAACAACAGTGGTTTTGTTTGGAACTGAGATAAAATGGGTGAGGAATAAGTGTTAATGCTCTGCTTTTTGGGAATGGAAGAAAAGAGCAAGAGCAGCAAGATCAGGCAAAGGAGCCCGGCAGGACCATCACCCAGCCCTGCTGCACATGCAGACACTGCCCCCCCAGCAAAGCATCAGAGAGCCTCAAAGGGGAAGGTCTCTCACTGGGGCCAGGAACCAAATATGCTGCCAAAGCCATGAGACCTGGCTCTCCTGCAGGCTGGTTTGGACGCGAGCCCCCAGCGCACAGCGACACCCAACACAAGGACGTCTCCGACCACCGCTCACCTCAGCCAGCACGAAGAGAGGCTCGATGACGTCCCTCTCCACCTGCAGCTCGAAGTGGATGAGCTCCTGAGCCAGCTTGTCCTCCGCCTCCCCGCACAGCCGCAGCATCTTCCTATAAGGGCACACCAGGGAAGCGATGGGCACCCAGCCTGTGCCCATGGGGCTCTAAGCCCCTGCGGGTCTTGGCAGCAGTGCAGGGCAGCCCTTCCTTGGCAGAGGGCTGGAGGGACCAGAGCACCTCGGGGACCATGGGCACCCTGGGTGTTAGGAAAATATCATTCTGTAACTATTGTACCAATTATAGTCTGAAATTTTATGGAGTTTTATTATTTTTATATATATATGTATGTATGTATATACATACATACACATACATACTTTTTTCTTAATAAATATATGTAAGTCCAGAAGAGAGCCATGAAGATGCTGCGAGGGCCGGAGCAGCTCTGCTCTGGAGCCAGGCTGAGGGAGCTGGGCTGGGTCAGCCTGGAGAAGGCTCCTGAAGGGGAGACCTTAGAGCAGCTCCAGTGCCTAAGGGGGAAAACTGGAGAGGGGTTTTGGAAAGGGCCTGTAGGGCCAGGCCAAGGGGAATGGCTTTAACCTGCCAGAGGGGAGACTGAGATGAGCTCTTAGGCAGAAGCTCTTCCCTGTGAGGGTGCTGAGGCGCTGGCACAGGGTGCCCAGAGAAGCTGTGGCTGCCCCATCCCTGGCAGTGTTCAAGGCCAGCTTGGACACAGGGGCTTGGAGCAAGCTGCTCCAGTGGAAGGTGTCCCTGCCTGTGGCAGGCAGTTGGGACTGGATGAGCTTTAAGGTCCTTTCCAACCCAAACCAGTCTGGGATTCTATGATGACATACAGTTTGCACTCTATCCTACATGACTAAAAGGGTCCCATCTTATCACAAGGAGAAGAATAAAGAAATCCCCTGGACTACTGAGATCACATGACCATCCCACCCCCTCTGACACCACTGTGACCCCCTTCCCCGCCTCCCCTGCCCCAGTTATCTGGCATCATAGATAAGGAACTACGGCAATTCCCGGCGGCAGCCTCCCAGCAGTGGCACAGCACCGGGGAGACCCTGCCCCCCCTTACCCTAGCAGGGAGTCGTCGCCCAGCACCGCTGACCCCTCCATCAAGCACTGTGCCAGTGTTGTCAGCGGCAGCTTCTTCTGCAAAGAGAGGGCTCTGGTTCGATCCGCCAGCCCAGTGCTGCCGCCTGCCCGGCAGCCTCAGAGCCCTGCCAAAGCCTCACCGAGCGCTTGTCAGCGTCCACGCCTTGCTGGCCCTGCAGACATGCGGTCAGCTTCTTGTGGGTGCTGTGGGAGACCTGCTTCACCAGCTCCAGGCGCTTCTCCACCTGCGGATGCAGCGGTGTCCATCACCGGGGTATCCCACCTGGTCCCACGCCCACGGTGCAGTGCCATAAGGAACTTCTTCATTTCCAATCTAAATTCTTTCAATTGCCACCGCATCAGATGCAACAGCCCCAGAGCCCAGCCCCTTCCTGAAGCAGGGATGCTTTACGCAGGTGAAGGCTTCACCAGACTGATGCTGCCCCATAGTAATTCCTTGAGGGAGGCTGATAGCTGGATGGGACCAGCCTCCAAAGCCTTTGCACCCCCGGGGTGTGGGGAGGAGATGTCTGTCCCAGCTGAGCCCTGCCACAAACCAAACTGGCCAATACTCTAACCTGGGTCTAAAAGTTGCTTTAATTGCCTCTGCATTGATTAAATGAAGCAGTTCATCCCCAAACTCAGCTATACAAGTCATTAAACGTCAGCAAAGAAGATCTGCCGAAAACCAAAGCTGAGAGACACGGGGAAAGCATGGAAACCTCAACATTTGGGCAAATAATCTGTGAAAACAGAAATATTTAAATGATCTGGGGGAAAAAATGACTACTCCCTTCCAGGGACAACTCCTGAGCCTGCAGCAAGTCCTTGAGGCAGGAGGCAACTCCTGAGCTGAGCCACCCCCCACCACTATAATGATATATATCTTAGTAACGTTTTATATAGAACAAAACAATCTCTATAAAAGTATTACATATATATTTAAATAATGAAAGAACTCTATGATTCCTGGCTGAGGCAGAGCAGCCTCTGCCATCCCTGCAACGTACACATGTGCCTTTCAACATATAGATGAAATGTGTATGTATATATAAAACTTATAGAAATTATATATACAAACACACACATCCATGCATACGTTGCAAGGGGTCTGATGTTCAGAAGGGCACATATGTGGGTGCACACCCAGCTAAAGGAGCCAAACTGGAGGTAGTTAGATGCACACCCGGACGGGTTTGGGTTCCCTACCATCCTGGAGACAGACCCCTGCCAACATGAGTGACTCTTCACTCTGCACCCAGACAAGGCAGCACCCACCACCCTTCCCACTAAAATATCTCCAAAAGGTGTAAAAATCCCCTGTGCCATGCTGCCAAAGCCAGCCATGCCCTTGACAGTGTCGTCACTGGTGCTACCAAGTGCTGGGATGTCAGCGGTTGGCTCCAAGATCAGGGTCTGACTCTTGGTGCCGAAGGGCTACAGAGACCTCAGAGCTTGAAAGGAGAAACACCAAAAATTAAAATTGAAACAAAAGAAGTTCATTATTCATGTTTTCTCTGGCTGCTGGTGGTGGGGAGTACTCAGATCCCCTCCGCTCTGTCTTACTGGGGCTGACCATCCCTGGGGATCAGGGCACGTCACCGCTGCACCTGGCCCATCCCTGCCACCAGCACTGATGGTGAGGAAAGGAAGATCTCCATCTCTTAGGAGGAGACAGGATTGAGAGCAGCCCTGAGAGGAAGGACGTAGACGTGTTGGTTGATGAGAAGCTCCCCATGACCGGGCTTCAGTGTGCGCTTGAGTCTAGACCCCCCCGTGTGCTGGGTGCACCCCCAGAGCGTGAGCAGCAGCTCAGGGAGGGGATCCTGCCCCTCTGCTGTGCTCTGGGGAGACCCCCCCTGCAGCCCTGATCCAGCTCTGGGGCAGCAGCACAAGAGGGACGTGGAGCTGTTGGAGCGAGGCCAGAGGAGGCCATGGAGCTGCTGCGAGGGCTGGAGCAGCTCTGCTCTGGAGCCAGGCTGAGAGAGCTGGGCTGGGGCAGCCTGGAGAAGAGAAGGCTCCTGAAGGGGAGACCTGAGAGCAGCTCCAGTGCCTGAAGGGGCTGCAGGAAACCTGGAGAGGGGCTTGGGACAAGGGCCTCAGGAGAGCTGTCACCTGGCCCATGCCTGTGGCTGCTGGGGTTCAGGAACTCAGCATCATCTCTATCTGCCTGGAGAAAGCATCTCTTGAGCTAGCAGGGGAGGCCAAGGGGCAATGGCTTTAACCTGCCAGAGGGGAGACTGAGCTGAGCTCTGAGGCAGAAGCTCTTCCCTGTGAGGGTGCTGAGGCGCTGGCACAGGGTGCCCAGAGAAGCTGTGGCTGCCCCATCCCTGGCAGTGTTCAAGGCCAGGTTGGACACAGGGGCTTGGAGCAAGCTGCTCCAGTGGAAGGTGTCCCTGCCTGTGGCAGGGGTTGGAACCAGATGACATTAAGACCTTTTCCAACTCAAACCATTTTGTGATAAAAAACTCCAACACCCACTGGCTGGTGGCTGGGATGCCACCACAAGGGCAGTTCTGACGAACAGCAAACCAACCCATCAGTGCCCCGATAGCCCATGCAGCCACTTCCATCAGCTATTTCTCACCAGTGCCAGTGACCAGCCGTGCTCTACCCTGCATGGTCTGGTCTCAGCCACGATGGAAACAGCTGCTGAATCCCTGGCAAAGCAGCAGGAGGGAGGGATTAATTGCTGCAGGCGGCTGCTCTCTGCACCCTGCTGGGACATTTGCAAACAGCTTCATTGTACTCTCTTCCACCGTGGTTCCAGCAACCTCTAGTGATGACTCACCCAAACCCTCTCCGTATTTTTGGCTAACACATGGCTCTTGCTAAAGCGTGAAGTGTGCTGGGAGCAGGGTCATTGGGTCCAAGTGAGGGCAACACAGGCAGAACACTGTGGCCAGAAAGAGCTAAAGGTCATTCTGCAGCTACTGTCACTTGCAGGTCACAGCCTCCTGCCACAAGCATCCTCACGGGTTCTCTGTTTCTGCAGAACCTGCTACCTTGACAGCAACAGCACAGACCAAATTGCCAAGCTGCAAACACACCAGCTGAGACCAAAAAGCTTACACTTTTCCCAGCCCCAAGTGCTGAGGAGGCTCCAGCAGCAGCTGGACTGGCTGACAGCAGGGGATGCCTGCGGTGATGAAGGACAAGGGCTGGGCACCCTCACTGCTGCCAGGCGGCTGCTTTGCTCATCAATGCCCAATGGTTTAGACAACCTGTGAGTTAGAAACCTCATGAATTCAGTGATGGATTTGTGAATTCATTCTTTTTGCTGGCACTTCCTCAGACATCCCCCTCTGTGGAGTGTGTAGGAAGCACAGCTGATGCTCCACAGCACCACGTGAGGATTTTTGGCCAGGGCTGTTTTGCTGAAGTCTCCCAACCATCAGCTCTGGGGACTGTACCCTGCTGTCGCACATCTTATCCCCAGGGCAGGTTTTGCAGCAGAGACAGAAGCCTCAGGCACCCGCCTGCAATCTGTCCAGCCATTATCAGGTTGCCATTCTGGCAGAGACAAGACTGGATCCAATTGCAGCTGACCTGAGAACCAGGCTGGGAAAGGGATGGGAAGGCATGTGGGAGGGAGGCAACGCTGCTTCTCACGCTCCCTATCCCCTCCTCCTCCTCCCAGCCCATCTCATCACTGCAGGACACTGTGGCATCGACCAGCACAGAAGTGCTGCTGCATCCAGCGTCACAGGCACAGGTCAGACCAGCTGCAGAGGGCCTCACCTGCAAGAGATCTTCACTCAAAACCTCTGTCTTCTCAGCCCTGCAAGACAAGAAAGAACATAAAGCATTGGTGAAGGGTCTGGCACACATGACTGCATGCTGCAGCACCCGGCACTGCTAAATGTGTTTTTCCATTGGGATGCAGCCAGTGATTTAAGGTTTTCTGGTCCCACCAGCCACCAGCTCATCCTCTAAATAAGCAAAGGATGGAGCACCTTCACAGCTTACTGTGAGCATGCCACATCCCACACCAGTTTAGGGTCCTCCCCAGTCTCCCCCTTATTTTTTCATTATCCTCAACAGAGCAGGGATGCTAAATTCCCGGGAGGATGCAGGCAATGCTGCAGAGGGAGGCACTGTGTCTTTGTAAGGAAGCAGCTCCCTGGGCTGTGCTGGGCGATGGATGATGGTGACGTGGCTTTCAAGGACACAACCCGTCTGCACGACTGAGCCTCTTCAGTTGGACACAGCCGACTGGATCTCTGCAGCAGCTGCTGGGGCTTCGTCATCACCTTCCCTGCTTCTCCTTGGAGCCAGATTTACCACTCCAGAGCTTGTGTCATCCATCCACGGTCTTTGCTAGCAAGGAGCAGCAGGGATGCAAGAGACACAGGTCCGCAAACCCTCCTCAGCCATGCACAGATCTGCAGCATCCTGCCTGCCAAGCCCCTGCACTGCTCCTCACCAGATCTGCTCAGGCTTATTTAAGCCATCACATCCAGACAATTTATTCATCTTCCTGGGGCTTTTTTACAACTTCAGTGCATCACCTCTCTTTGAAAAATGCCCTCTATCAAGATGTGCTTAGGCAGAGCTATGGCTTAGCTAATTAGACCATACAGGTTTGTTGACAAAAAAAGAAAGCTCAGTGGTCTCACCTTTCTTAAAAAGGTACCTTTATTGCCTGGGCCCTGGTTGCTCTCTGCTGGATTCTCAGCTTTGAGAGACTGAGTTAAATATAGAAAAAGTGGGAAACAGGAGAAAGCACAGCCAGAGCAAGGTTCAAAGAGTGAGCCCAGCCCAGCAGCGGTGCCAGCCAAGGCAGGGTTTGGGCTACGGGCTCATCTGCAAATACACCGCATTTAAAGACTTAAAAGAAGTGTAAATTAACTGCATTAAATCTGGTTTGTGTATGAAAATTGTCCCAGAGTCTGATTCAAGTTGGGTTTAAAAATGACCCCCAATTAATTGTGGCTGTTAAAAAAAAAAGGAATTTAAATGAATGTGTTATGGTATCTTCCATATGACACACAAGTGATGCACTGGCTGCCCAGGAGCAAGAGCTGCTCAGGTTCTTCGCCTCTCCTGCATATCCTTTATGAACAGGGTTGGAAATATCCAGCAGCACAGCCACAATGACCATCCTGTTTCCCTGTCCTAGCGCAGGATAGATTGATTTAGCATCCCAAAGGAGAAGGAGGTGTCAGGAATGCAGGCAAACACTGCACACCCACACGCAGGCACCCCCAGCAAACATCCTGACTCTTGCTCAGCACCCCGAAATTTAGACTTCCCAGAAAGAAAGATTTCCCTTTCTTGCACCACCATCCACCAAAAGTGATGTTCCCACTTGTCTTCTCCTTTTGTGGCTGGGCACCAGTCACCCCTCATGGACACTTTGCATGTAAAGACTAACAAATACCATCCTCTTCCTTCTCCCATGTTGCGCTGCATTGCAGCTCCATGCTGCCAATGCCACCAGGAAAAATCCCTTTATATTCCTTATGTTTCTGAATTCTCAGCCTAAAGTTAATACGGTTTTACAGGAGCTTATCTGGTTTTATGAGCAAACCTGCAGCAGACGGTGATGGCAGCAAGAGGCAGGGGAGGCTCCCTGCACACCCCAGGCTCCATCCTGCTTGGGGGATATTTTCTGGGTGCTGAGCTGTTGCCAGCTCTCAGAGATGCTCAAGGAGGCCCTGGTGCCCCAGTGCCACTTCTCTGGTATCAAGAGATTTCCCTAGGGGATGGAGAAATATCATCCCACTGCCTTTTCTGGGGGCAGGATGGCAGCACCTCTGTGAGAATCTTGGCAAAGCATCTTCAGTGGGCTCAGCCTTTCCTCTTCAACAAACCTTTTTGGTTCATGCTTTCTGCTCCCTCCCCAGATCAAGCTCAGCATCACACCTGAGGACGGGTGTGCACCCCCTTGCCTTCCCCAGCTCTCTGGCCTTGCCTTCCCCAGCTCTCTGGCCTTGCCTTCCCATCCCTGGGGACAACCGTTCACTTAAACCCCCCAAGATGTTCTGTTCCAGCCTGGCATCTTGCTCCCATCCAAGGAATCCTGTAGCTCCTCCTGGCACCCCCCATCCCCTCCAGGCACATCCCAGCTCATCCCAGCATCCCCCAGTTCCTCTCTAGCATCCTCCATCCCCTCCTGGCATTCCTCAGCCCAGCATCTCCCAGTCCCTCTTGGCACCCCCCAAGTCCTCCCCAGCACCCCCATTTTCCCCCTCTCCCTATGACACAGGCTACCATGTCCTGGGGCAGCTGGGGGACTACATCAGCCCTCCCTTCCTCATGCCCTGGCAGGGTTCAGGTCTCTTTTGTGCTTACCCCATAACCCCAGACCCACAAATGATGCTCAAGGGCCTGATGCATGCAGCAGAGTCCAGGGAAGTGGCTGTCTGGTGGCTGGAGCATCCCAGGGCCCAACCATCAGGGCAGCTGGTGGTAGCAAGAGAACACCTCCTCTAGGCACCAGCTGAAGCCAGCATCAGCTTTGGACAACTCTTTTCATACAGTCATTTGCAGGCGGGTATTTCCATCCCCATGTCTCCCCAGGCGGATGCAGCCGGGGCTCCCGTGCTGGGACACAACCCCTCCAGGGAACCAGACTCACGCAAGGTGACCTCAGGAAACAGCAGCACCCAAGAGAGGAGTGCAGGGAGCCCTCAGTTTCCCTGACTCTTCCCTAATCCCTCAAAACTTCATGTTTATGAGCTACACATGTCCTGCTGGAGGACCCCTTAGAGAGGCAGCCAGGATTACCAGCTTTCAATGCTTTATTCCAGCTTTCCTTTAGCAAATAAAAGCCCTCTCCTCTAATTCCTCTTCAGGTTTTTACCCCAGAGCTGTTTTTCTCAGCACAAATACAGGCAATCCTCAGACCCAGTCAGCACCAGACACGCACATCGCTGCAAACAGCTGGAAGAAAAGGGATAATTAATATGGAGAGTTTAAAGCAAACGAGCAGGGAATGCAACTACAGTTTGGTCAGGCCTTTGCTTCTGAAAAAAAACCCTAATTGCTGCCAGCAGAAAACAACATCAATTGAGCAAATTAAGTTGATTTCCAAACAAACACTACATGAGCTTGCAATGCCTTGACCTACAGCAAAGCATCTGATGCCAGACATCTCCATCCAGATCATCCATCACGATGCCCACCCCATGTCTCACCACCATCCTCCTCTGATGCTCAAACCACCCAAGACAACCAGCCGCCAGCCCTGGATTTGACCCCGAGCCAGCAAAGCTCAAAACATGACAAGGATTTCACAGCATTTCCCAATGAATGGGAAACCCATCACACCTGAGGGTGGGCAGTGCTTCATCCAGCGTGGATGCGTCCCCAGAGGCAGAGTGTGTCCTCAGTGCCCCAAGGACCCTCTGGCTCACACTTTCTCTCAAAACATCCCTTTCACCCCCACCCCTGGCCACCCCCTCGCTGCAGGATGCCCGTGACTATTTCATAGAACACTACAGAACAGAAAAAACACATAAACACCTATTTCATTGCTATTGCATTACCGGCACCAGCCAGTTCCCCTGGTTTCTCTTTGTTCCAGTCTAAAACCAGCCTTGCAGCTGCATGAGGCAGAGGGAGGCAGAACCCACCAAGGCCACCCTGCATCAGCAGCGCTGACTCCCACGGCTGGGGCTGTGCCGAGGTCCCACACGGACTTGGGAATGGTGCCCAGCTCCATTTTAGTCCTGCCTGTGCCTCCCTCCAGTGCCGCCACACATGCCTGGGGGCTGGTACGCACAGGAACCGTCAAGGTCCTTGAACCCCCTCAGGCTCAGAGGTGAGGTTGGTGAGATTCAACCACACAACTTTGCTAAGGCACTGAGCACCCATCGATTGTGCCAGAGGGAGCAGAAAGCTCCACAGGTCTCACCCAGGCAACCCCTGGAAGTGCCAGGCATCACCAAGTCAGATGCTGGTCTAAGGACAGCGCTGTTCCCAGCTTCTGCTGCCATCTGAGCAACCCACATCCCCAGGGACACACAGCGTGATAGCACATAACCAAGAGACGGCTGAGGCCAAACGGAGCTGTGGGTTTTTCACCAGGAAAATCTTGAGCAGACAAGAAGTGAAACGTCAAATATTTATATCCTCAAATCGCTGCTCAAATCCCCCAGGGAGATGACTCCAAGCTGCAGCATCCAGTGATACGAGGTGAAACACCCCCAGCAGCACCTCCTCCAGTGCTGCCCGGGCCCATCCTGACCTGGTGGGGGACCTGCAGTAACAGTCCCTGTGTCCCAAACCTGTGGCCAAGGCCAGTGACGCCCCCCCAGCAGGCCCAGTGCCAGGGCTCAGCCCCTCGCAGCTTGCCCAGCTATGGCTGAGCCAGGCTGGAAAAGCAGAATGAAACAGGCAGGGAAGGACTGGTCCAGCTTTCCTCAGTCCTGCCCACTGCTGGGAAAACCAACGGAACCAGAGCAAAATGGGGGACAGAATTTTAAAGGCAGAACAGCCTCTTCTTCTCATCTCCTGCCACTTTCCTGGCTGCGAGCTCTCTGCATCAGCATCCCTTCAGCATGGGATGCATAGGGCCCTTTGCTCCTCGCTCCTGGCTCATCCCCGGCAGAGGAACCCCCACCCCGGTTGCATCCTGACCACGCTTTAGTCCTGATTTGAAAATCACTGAGGGGCTCTACGGAGGGGCCCCTGCAGAGCTCCAGGCCCTGATGCTGTTGGCCCAAGGATGAAACCTTCAGTCTGCTTCAGGAATATTGCAGTTTGTCAGTGCTGCTGCCTTGCCAGGAGGATAAAAATATCCCCAGGATGCTGCCGGCGGCACTCGGCAAAACCAAAAAGCCTGGGGGGATGTGCTGCTGGTGAGCTGCTGGCACCCCAAAGTGCAGACATGGGACCCAGCTATTTAAAGCATGTTATTCCCTCCTGCAAATCCCACTGGAAAAATCCCAGGCAGTGTTTTATTCTCTCCATCCTTATTTCGTATGCAGAATAAAATGTTCTTATTTTCTTGCAGAATATTCTTACTGCACAGAGAGTAAAACTGTGGTGTTTAAAAGCTTGATATTTATGTGCAGACGTCCTGGTGCTTGGAAAAGCATCTGCCTTGAGAGGCCCCCAGCGGACAGCCAGCCCAAAATGCCACTGTGCACAGGAAGAGGGATACACCTTGGGATACTCAGAAAGGACTAGGAGGGAATAAAACCAAACCCCAAGCTGACAGCATCCTCTCCGGTATCCCCCATCACCTGCTGTGCCATCCAGGAACCCAGCCATGCCGCTCTGCACATGGCTGCAGGCACCTGTTTTATTCCCAATGGGAAAAACCCATATTGAGCTAATTCTGGCAAATTCCCAGGGCTGCTCCAGTGCTGGAGCGAGCGCTGCGGCATATTCACACCCATCATCCTGTGACCTCAACACAAGGGTGGGAGCTCCCCAGGCTCACCCGTGAGATGGAGAGAGAAATACAAATAAAAGCACTTTGAGAAAGCCTCTTCAGAACGTTTTACAGCCACTTACTGGCTTTTCTTCCCTTTTTTCACCCCACAGATATGAACATGATGGTCCCTCACAGGATAGGTGCAGAAATTCTCCCGGAGGCTGGGTACTAAGCGTGAGTCTGGGCTGGAATGAGCATCCCCAGTTCTTTCTAAAGAGTGAAATGACCCAAGTCAAATAAAGTAAATAAAATCAATAAAGTAAAAAAATCAACTAAATTAAAAAGAAAAAGCCAAAATTTAATATAATTTTGAAATAAAAATAATAAAATAGTAACAAAAAGTAAAAATAAAAAATAGAAAATGTAAAATTAAAATTAAGATAAATTTAAATAAATAAATATAAAAATAAAATAAAATAGACTACAAATAAATAAAAAGCATAAAATTAAATGAAATGAGGTGAGATGATGAGATGTCAATCCCCCAGCACATGCTGGTGCTCTGCTCTCCCCCAGGGCCCAGGAGGTCCCTTTGCAGCCCCAGCATCCCAGGGGGAGCAGCAAAGGCTGTGACAGTACCGAGGAAATGGAGCTGGAACTGTATCTGGAAAGGTAAGGAAATGCACTCAGCATCCTCATCTGACCTGATCCTGATCCTAACCTTGACCCCAGTCCTGACCTTGACCGTAACCTTAACTGTAACCCTGGCCCTAACCTTGACCCTGATCCTAACATTAACCTTCAACCTGACCCATGCCCATCCCTCACCATCCAGCTGAGCCCTGTCCCTCAGCTGCAGAGTCACCTCACAGGGGCAAAGAAAGTGCTGCTCCTGCCTGTCCCCCACACCTACAGATGGGTTTTTCCCTCCTTCAGCTGCCTTTTTTCTTCCTTTTCTATTTTTTTTAAGGAAACTGCACCACAAAAAGCAGGAAAAGCCACCAGGGACTGAGCCCCCCCCTCCTGCCTGCCTCTGCACGCCTCACAGGGTGCCTGGGGACATGTCACCACGGGCCCCCATGTCCTGTGGGGCTCAGTCCTGACCCAGCTCCCTGTATCAGTGCGGGGAGCGCAGCCGTGCCGGCAGCACCAGGAGCTCCTGGCAGGGGTGACACCAGCTGGATGCTACCACCACCACGTGCAAACCATCCCCAGTGTCCCTTCCCTCTCTGAGGGACACCCAGTACAGTGCAACCCCAGCCCCAGGACAGCATCCAGCCCCTCAGTCCCCAGACCTGGCCTTGGGGTGGTGCCCCTGGATGGTGGCCCATGGGGGTTTGGTGGCAGGCAGGAGGGAACACCCCTCAGACATCAGAGGGATACAGTGCTTGTATACCGGGTCTCTATTATTATTCCCTATATCCACTTATTCCCCATTTCCATTTATTATTCCCTATTTCTATTAATTATTCCTTATTTCCATTATTATTCCTTATTTCCATCTATTATTCCTATATCCTTTTATTATTCCCTATTTCCAGCTGGCTGGAGAGGGCTGCTCATGGCTCAGGAGAAAAAGGATAAAACATCAGCCCATGTTCCAAATGGGGACCAATGGAGCCTCCCATGCTGAGGAGGAAAGGTAAGGAGGAGGAAGAGGATGATCCCTGAGCTCTCACCAAGCCTTGCAGAGGCTCCAGCTGCCCCATCTGGGCACTGAACAAAGAGGGGACCATAAACCCCCATCCCTGTTAAACCCAGCCCACAGAGCTGGCAGCACAGGTAGTGCTGCAGGCAGCAGCCACACCATGGCATCAATGGAGCTCATCACAAGCCAGCATCGCGGCGAGCCCCAAAGAGGATTAGGGGTTCAGGGGTTGTGGGGTTCAGGGGCCAAGGGCTCCCAGCCCCGCAGCCGCCATTCCCACTCCCCAGGCTGCAAGTCAGGCATGGCAGGAGCCCAGCACGGCCCCCATGCTCCCAGTGGATGCGGGAAGGAAGATGCTCAGTGCCTTGTCAGTGGCACCATTTCAAAGCCAGGCATGCGTGCAGTGCCTGGCTCATGTCTCCCATGTGGCAGTGGCGGGATCTGAGGACATCCCTGCCCTGCAGCCCCACAGCCCCAGCTGGGAGACACGTCAAACCTCCTCAGAGCATCCAGACAGCAAACCCGGTCTGGCAAAGATGCAAGGAGAAAATCAATCCATCCCCAAAACAGCCTCCTCCTGCTGCTCTCCACAGGATGCAAGAGCCAGTCTAACAGTGCTCCTGCACCACGGTCCCTGTGCCACCTTCCCTGTACCATGCTCCAGCGCCACACTCCTGCACCACATTTTTGCATTGCTTTCCTGTGCTGCACTCCTGCACTGTGCTCCCACACCGAATTCCCACCCTGCGCTCCTGCACCGTGTTCCCACACTGCACTCTTGTGCCAGATTCCTGCACCATGCTCCTGCACTGGATTCCTGTAGCACGCTCCCAAGCCACTCTCCTGCACTGCATTCTTGTCCCATGTTCCTGCCTCGATATTCTCGCACGGTGTTCCGGTACTATCTTCCCACACTGCACTTGCTCCCTCACCGCATTCCTGCACCATGATCCCACACGATGTTCCTGCAGCATGCTCCCGCACCAGATTCCCACAGCATGCTCCTAAACCGCATTCCCACATCACAGGCTCGCACTGTGTTCCTGCTACTGCACTCCTGCCCAGCCAGCACAGCCCCAGCCTGTGTCTTGCCACCATCCTGGACCCCTGCCTGTACGCCGGTCACCAACTGCTGCCACCAATCGCCACCAGCCTGGCTGAGGATGCAGAGCCAGCAGGATGTCCCCATTGCCATGGGGGACACGGTAAGGGGGCACACAGGGGATTGTCAGCAGAAATCCAAGCCCTTGGCTGGCTCCAGGAGGGAATGCTGAGCCCAACAGCCCAGCCGTGCCTGTGCCGGTGCCCAATGCCACACTGGGAAGGAAAAAATAAATCCCTCCCTCCTCCAGCTGCAAAATCTCCTGGAATTACACAACAGCCAACACCAAACCCTGGGCCTGGCCATGCATCAGTGCACACGGGCATGGTCCCCCACACCTCACAGCCACCCCATGGGAGGCCACTCATGGGTGCTGGGGGGAGCAGACCAGTGGGGCACCCCACAGCATGAGGGCTAGGATGGCCAGACAGTGGGTCTCCCTGCAGCCCAGCCCTGGGACACAGAAAACGGGCAGGGGCAGGTAGGGCGAGAGCCGGGGCAGGCAGGAAAGTAGTGGATAAAGGGTGCAAGGTGTGGGGCAGGGCAAGGAGGGCAGAGGGTGTGAGCATGGGGACAGGGAGGGGTTAACGAGCAGGCAGGGTGCAGGCTGGGGTTGCAGGCACAGAAGGAGGCAGGGAATGGGCCAGGAGGAAGCAACCTGTGGGCACTGGGACAAGTGGAGCAGGCAGGACGCAGGCACTGGGGCTGCAGGGCATAGTGTGGGCAGAGGGTCGGTAGGGTGCAGGCATGGAGCAGGCAGGACGGGCAGTAGGGCAAGGGGCATATGGGGGAGCAGGAAGGTCACGGACTGGGAGCATAGGCAGTGGGGCAGGTAGGTGGCAAGCTGGGGAGCAGGGGCAGTAGGGTGGGCAGGAACACGTGCAATAGGAAGAGGGCAGGAAGCAGGCAGGGTATAGGAAAGGAGCAGTGGGGCTGGCAGGAAGCAGCCAAGACAGTGACGGGATGGGCAGGGGCAGTGGGGTAGGCAGGGAGCAGGTAGGGTACAGGATCAGGAGCAGGCAGGTGCAGTGGGGTGGCAGGCACAGGCAGGAAGCAGGCAAAGGAACTGGCAAGGGGTGGGATTAGGGGCAGTGGGGCAGGCAGGATAGAGATAGAGCATGGGATGGGAGCCGAAGCTGCAGGCAGGGAGCAGGTGCTGCAGGGAGGGGGCAGGATGAAGATGCAGCGGAACAGGCAGGGGGCAGGCAGGGCGCGGCCCATCCCCATCCGCATCCCCATCCCCATCCCCATCCCTACCTGCCCACGGTCTGGTTGGCGAGCTGGCGCATGCGGTTGAATTGCTTCTTCATGGTGGCGGCGGCGGCACGGGCGCCCCTCAGGCGGGAGGGCAGCGGGGGGCCACTGGCCGCCCCTCCCGCATCCTCGCCGGGCCGGGCCGGGCCGAGCCGAGCCGAACGGGCCCGATGCCCCTGCGCGGCTCCGCGCCTCCGCCTGCGCGGGCCCCGCCGCGCTCCGCGCCCCCCGCTCCGCACCGCTCCGCACCGCCCCCGGCCGAGGCGGCGATGGGAAATGTAGTCCGGGACCGCGCCCCCCCGGCGAGGCCGGCAGGGTCGGGGGCACCTTGGGCCGTGCCTGGCCCAGGCATCCCCCCGGCCACCCCCCTGCATCCCTCTGCTGCCCTCAGCATCCCCCATCACTCTCTGCATCCCCCAGCACCCCCCCTCCCCACCCCTCCTGCATCCACCGGCACCTTCCTGCATCCCCCTGGACTAGGGAAGGCATCGGGGCCCTGGAGGGCTCAGATAAAGCCCATTTCTGGCCCCTGGCAGGTTGTGCTAAAGCCTGGCAAAGCCCTCCAGGTACCACGACAAGCAGAAGGAGCAACAGTGGGCTCTGGGAAAGCCCAGCAAAGCCCATCAGATGTTCCAAAAGACAGCAGGGGCCTTGGCGATCTATGGCAAAGCTCACCAAGCCATTGGTCATCCTGGCAGGCAGACTGGACAAAGCAAGGCCCCTGCAAAACCCACCATGGAAAGCTGTTGAGTATTTTGGAAGGCAGCAGAGGCTGTGGTGGTCTCAGGCAAAGTAGGCCAAATCAATCCAGGCATTCAGGAAGGCAGCTGGGGGTTTGGAAGGTAATAGGAAAGTCCACCAAATCCTGTCAGGAATTTTGGGAAGTAGCAGGGGCACTGGTGGCCTCTGGCAAAGTGAAAGCCCCCGAGTACTATGGAAAGCAGCAGGAGCCCTGCTGGGCGCTGGCAAAGGCTGCCAAAGCCAGCCAGGCGTTCCAAAGACATCAGTGGCCCTGGCATTCCCTTGTCAGCCCGGCAGAGCTTGCCGGGCATTTCAGAAAGCTGCAGGGGTCCTGTCGGGCAGCAAAGACCAAAGGGCACTCTGCAGGCAGCAGGGCCCGGGAAGGCTCTGGCAAACCCACAAAGCCCACCAGGAAGCCTGGAAGGTTTTCCCAGAGCTCACCTGCTGTTGGTCCTGTAAAGAACAGGGTGCTCTCCGACCCTGGCAGCTGAAATCCCCATATTGGAAAGAAATGTGAACTGAGATGTCTTGACATTCCCGAGTCTTATAACCACAGTGAGTGACAAAAGCAAATTGTGGATCAGAGCCTTTCCTTTGCAGTTTGAACGCATCCACTATAAGGAAAGTCTGAGTTACACAAAGCAGGGACAGACAATCAGTTGAAAGCCACAGGATGTGCATCCTGGGATTATGTTTTAACCAGGCAGTCCAAACAGTCTCCAAAATACATGTTTTTGAAAATGAGGGGGAAAAAGCCCTGCCAGCATCCAGCGTGCTGCCCCTCACCAGTCCTCATTCCCTCACACACCACAGAGGGGCACCACTGACCAAAAATTGCTTCACCTCCTCACAGGATGGAGGCTCAACTGAGGAGAAGGAAATAATTAAGCAGGAAGTGAAAATTAAACCATTCCGTGGAAAATGAAGGGGAAGGGTTTATGCATTCATCTACCTAAGCTAGTGCCTTGTCAAAGGAATGTTATTGGGAAACCACGGTGGGAAACAGGGACTCTGCTAGGGCAACGCTGTATTTTTCCTGCTTGAGGCCCAGTGACTCCTGAGAAACAGTAACAGCCCCCGATGGGAGAAACCTCCTTTCCCAGTACCGCTCCTGCTCCGGGAGCTGCGGCACATGCCTGAGAGTGCATGGCATCAGCAGTGGGGGCTGTGGGGGACCCGGGAGGAGAGGAAGCATCTGCTCTGTGCTGAACACAGCCACTTCCAGATGACTGCCTGGTTCCAGATGGCTCTGAACTGTCCCATCACAGGGCACAGCTGAACCCATTGCTGATGCTGGTGATGCCTCTGGGGAAATGTATTTAAGAAAGGGCAAAATTCCATGTGGCACTGAGGAGAGGGAGGGAAGGGAGGGGGGGGAGAAGGAAGTGTGAGAGGTGACAGCAAGGTAGCAGCAATGCCAAGGAGGAGGGGAAGAAGAGGTGGCCCAGGTGCTGGACCAGATGTTCAACAGAAGCCCCTGAAGTCATAGAATCACAGAATGTTTTGTGTTGAAGGGACCTTAAAGCTCCTCCAGCTCCAACCCCTGCCACGGGCAGGGACACCTTCCACTGGAGCACCTTGCTCCAAGCCCCTGTGTCCAACCTGCCCTTGAACACTGCCAGGGATGGGGCAGCCACAGCTTCTCTGGGCACCCTGTGCCAGCGCCTCAGCACCCTCACAGGGAAGAGCTTCTGCCTAAGAGCTCATCTCAGTCTCCCCTCTGGCAGGTTAAAGCCATTCCCCTTGGCCTGTCCCTACATCCCTTGTCCCAAGCCCCTCTCCAGGTTTTCTGTTGACCCTTCCGAAGCAGACATCCATGCCTGGGACTAATGTTAATTGGCAATAAATGAGTTTTCCCAAAGCCCAGCCTGTGTTACCTGTTATGTCAGTGGGTGACCGATCTCCCTGCCTCTATCCCAACCCAGGAGCTGTTTCACTCCCCCCTCCTTGCCGTGAGGAGGGGGTGAGAGGGGCGCAGCCACCTCCAGGAGCTCCCCGTCAAGAGCCGGCCCTGGCGGCAGCACGGGGAGAACCGCAGTGCTCGCAGTCCTCCGAGCCCCCAGGGGGCGCGCTAGCGGCGCCTCGCTGTGTCGGCGCCGGGGCCCGGTGGCGGCCGGAAGCGGCTGCGTGCGGTGAGAGCATGGAGGCCGGGAGCTCGCGCCCTCTGAGGTAGGCTGGTGCCGGCCGTGCGAGAGCCGCGGCACGGGGAGGCCGCGGGGCGGGTGTCGCTGCTCTCGGCTTCCCGGCCCCTCACCGTGCCGCGCCTCTCGCCTCGCAGCGCGGCGCAGCTACGGGCGGCCGGCGGCCGGCAGGCCTCGAAGCGCGCGCAGGGCCAGAAGGACTTCATCCCCGACGGCTCGGCCGAGCAGGCGGAGAGGCTGCGCCTGTGCCAGGAGGAGCAGTGGCGGCTGCTCTCCGAGGAGCGGGTGGTGCGGCGGTGAGTCCCCGCGGCTGGGCGCGGAGCGCTGTGGAGCGCTGGGGCACAGCGGCTGTAGCAGTGCAGTGTTAACGGCAGGGAGGTGTCCGCAGTCAGGTCCCTTACCCATCCCTTCGTTCACCTGCTGGGGAGGAGGAGCCGGGGGAGCACACCCCGGCGGTTCCCTGGGGAGCAGGAACTTGCACCGGCACCGGGGGCCTCAGTGCGGGTGTTCAGACAGTCCCCTGGTTCTCTCAGGTGTGTGTGTTCTCCTGTAGCCTTTGTAGACAGCAGCCACTGTATTCCTGTGTGACCTGACTTACACGGCATCTTGTTGATCACAGAATCGTAGAATCCCAGACTGGTTTGGGTTGGAAAGGACCTTAAAGCTCATCCAGTCCCAACTGCCTGCCAGGGGCAGGGTCACCTTCCACTAGAGCAGCTTGCTCCAAGCCCCTGTGTCCAACCTGCCCTTGAACACTGCCAGGGATGGGGCAGCCACAGCTTCTCTGGGCACCCTGTGCCAGCGCCTCAGCACCCTCACAGGGAAGAGCTTCTGCCTAAGAGCTCATCTCAGTCTCCCCTCTGGCAGGTTAAAGCCATTCCCCTTGGCCTGTCCCTACATCCCTTGTCCCAAGCCCCCTCCAGGTTTCCTGCAGCCCCTTTAGGCACTGGAGCTGCTCTAAAGTCTCACCTTAAGAAGCTTTCTCTTCTCTAGGCTGACCCAGCCCAGCTCTCTCAGCCTGGCTCCAGAGCAGAGCTGCTCCAGCCCTCGAAGGATCTCTGTGGCCTCCTCTGGAATTGCTCCAACAGATGCTTATGTGTGGCCTTGTGCGGATTTGGCCTCCTCACAGTGTCCTTGGTTTATCAGTTTTAGTGGTTTTTAACAGCACTACCAGTCTCTGGAGTTTACAGTTTTTTGGGCGACTTTCACATGCTCCCTGTCAGTGCACGCTCTTTGGCCAGTTGTTTTCTGGTCATGGTTTCTCTGTCTGCACTGTTAAGTAGCAGCAGAAACTATTCACATAAAATTACAGCCCTGGGGACTCTAGAATGGTGACCTCCCACAGACAGGCAGGTCTTCCTGTGTTATCTTCCACTGCTGTCAAAGTCAGATTTGTGCGAGTACATCTGTAAATGTGTGTCTTGGATCAGCAGTGGAGGCTCTAGAGATGGGGGGGTGTGAGGTGTGTGTGACAGGGTAGGTTTACATTTCCTTTCAGATGGGGAAACTGTGCTACTGACTAAAGATGTTCTGTTCTGGGGTCTGTTCTGGACCCTACAGGTCTTGCCTTCTGTTTCTTTAAGGCAGCTACTAAAAATGAATGTTTGCATTCTTGAAGAGTCACCCTTCACTATTCCATTTGCTGGTTTTTGGTTGGGTTTGTGGTTTGTTTTTTTTTCTTCCCTGTAGGGTCCTGTAGGTGGGATGCAGCAATTTGAGTGTCTTGGCAGCATCTGAACAGTTGTATAATCTGTCATGGTTTAGGCCACGCATCCCTAGCTGGCTGCTGTAGCCTATGGACAGGTGTCTGTGATGCTGACTGAAGACACTTTTGGTCTTCAGTTGGTGATGATAAAATCTTCAGCTGGTGCTGCTAGATCCAGAGGATGCTGTCTTTCTAAGGCCTCTCCCTGTAAAAATGCCACCTGGAAGTCTGCTGCCTTTTGATACCTTCCTGATCTTGTTGGGTTGCTACAGCAGGAGTTGACGGTAAGACATGCCAATACTAACCTAATCTTTAACCTTCTCAGGGGGAATCTGGTAAAAGCAGAGTGGAAGCCAGAACAGGGCATCGTGGAGCTGCAGTCCCCTGCGGTGAGTGACCTACAAAGTGTACTTGGTGCCATAATCTGCTGCTGGCCTTTGCAGATTCCTTAATTTGCTGCTTGAAGTGGGGAAAAAACTGCTTGTCAGCAGGGACCAGCCACAGCCCATCGTGGATTTGTGCTTCTGTTCCAGGGGAAGTTCTGGCACACCATGGGGTTCACACAGCATGGCAAACAGTGCCTTCTGCCTGAGGAAGCTCTATACCTGCTGGAGTGTGTAAGTAGGATACCTGGGCATGGATGGGGCATTGTGTCCTTTTGAAATGACCGAGGAAGCTGTAGCAGCTTTAGAATCATAGAACAGTTTGGGTGGAAGGGACCTTCAAAGCAAATCTAGTCCAACCCCTTGCAATGAGCAGGGACAGCTTCAATTAGATCAGGTTGCCCAGAACCACATCCAGCCTGGCCTGGAATGTCCTCAGGGATGGGGCATCCACCACCTCTCTGGGCAACCTGTGCCAGTGTTTCACTACCCTTATTGTAGAGACTTTTTTCCTCGCATCCAGTCTCAGTCTTCCTCTTTTAGTTTAAAGCCATCACTCCTTGTCCTGTCTTGCTAAAAAGTCTCTTCTCTTTCTTATAGGCCCATTTTAGGAACTGAAAGGCCACAATAAGTTGTCCCTGAAATCTTCTCTTACCCAGGCTAAACAACCCCAACTCTCTCAGCCTCTTCTCACAGGAGGGGTGCTCCATCCCTCTGATCATTTTTGTGGCCTTTCTCTGGACCCTCTCCACAGGTCTATATCTTTCCTGTACTGAAGACTTCAGAGCTGGATGCAGTGCTCCATGCAGGGGCTCACCAGAGCAGAACAGAGGGGCAGAATCACCTCCCTTGGGCTGCTGGCCCTCTGAATGCAGTCCAAGATACAATTGGCCTTCTGGCCAATATTCTGATTTCACTTGCCTTGTTGTCCTGGGTTCAGCAGTAGCAGTCATTTTTCTCCTTCTTAGTAGCTGGTGCAGTGCTGTGGCTTTGACTTTCAGCCTGGGAACAGCACTGATAACACCAATGGTTTTAGTTGTTGCTCAGTAATGTTTACTCTGACCAAGGACTTTCTGAGTCTCGTGCTCTGCCAGGGAGGAGGGGAAGCCAGGAGGAAGCAGAGACAGGACACCTGACCCAAACTGGCCAAAGAGGTATTCCATACCACAGCATGTCATGCCCCGTATATAAAGTGGGGGCAGTTACCCGGAAGGGCTAGATCACTGCTCGGGTCAGGCTGGGTATTGATTGGCAGGTGGTGAGCAGTTGTATTCTCTTCCCTTGTTATTTCCCTTATCATCATTATTATTGGTGGTAGCAGCAGTGGTTTTGTGTTATACCTTAGTTACTGGACTGCTCTTATCTCAACCCATGGGAGTTACATTCTTTGGATTCTCCTCCCCATCCCTCCAGGAGCTGGGGGAGAAAGGGAGGGGAGTGAGCGAGTGTCTGTGTGGTTCTGGGTTGTGGGCTGGGCTTAGACCATGACACTTGTATTGGTCACTGGTGTGGTTTGAGCAGGTGGTAAACCCCTGGTTCTTGAGGAATGGTCTCTTTTTGCCTGTTGCTGATGGAGCTCTTTGTCTCCAAGCCGTGGGTTATTATTTTGTACTCTTCAGGAGCCCCTGTGTCACTGACAGCATGTGTCAGTGTCCGGTTTGTTCCGCTGGTATTATTTTTAACCCACTCCTATGTCAAATACAGTGATAGAGACAAGGAGTTTTACCTGATCTGAACTGTTGGTACAGCAGGAATGAATCAGCTTTCTTACCAGAGTGAAAGAAGCATGAGAAGCAAGTTACAGAGTTTTCCATTGAGATCTCTTTCTTGCTCTGGGGATGATGAAGCACACATTTATGTATTAGTTATTTCTTTAATGAAATCTGTGTATGGGGACTTGGCCTTCCACAGTTCAGGAAAACACACTGTTCCAGGAACTTCTGGAAATGAGATCGAACCATTATCTGCTGTTCCTTGCAGGAGTTAATTGGAATAAAAGGGTTTGACACCAAGAAACTTTTCCTCAGAGCTGTGTGCAATTAATTAGGACATCTGAGACTGGTCAATGCCTTTTCTGTCATAAACTGACTTCTTCCCTTGTCCCCAGTGTATCTTACAGATTTTGCAGCAGCAGAGTTCAGAAGTTCCGTAGCACAGATTTTCTGTGCTTCTCCTTGAAGCTGATAGGAATTAGTGAAACCCTCTCAAGCCTGACAGGGCCACACTGAGGCACTAAATCAGACCTTTCCATGTGAAGGCTGTTGGTAGGAGAGAGTTCTGGAGCAGCCAGTGCTGTACATGCTTGACAATCACAGATATTTGGGCTTCCTATTTGACATCTCTTCTCAGTATGTATGGCAGAAAGAAATCTAAATGGGGCAGATGGGAGTGAGACTAAGTTGTTTTCAGTGCTTCTCTTCTTGCAGAAATGCTGGTGAGGGCTCAGCTGGATTTCTTTGTCATAAAGAGGGCTTTTTTTTGGTCTCTCCACCAAAGCCTGGAATCCGTCTGATCTAAAGGGGAGCTTTTTTTTTCCTTTAGCAAAACTTAATCAGATAATGGGCATCTGATGCCATCCCTTAAGTCCAAACTGCAGAGGTTGGGCTTTTTTAGCTCTGCCATTTTGACAAACAGATCAGAAACAAATTGATGAAAATTCAGTTATTTGGTTAGTTGCTGATTACAGGGTCTCTCCCCAGTTAGGTGCCTTCAGCCCATCCCAGGGGGGAGCTGTGGTTCTTAGTGTGGTGTTTGCTTTGTTTGGGTGAACACTGTCTTAAAAAAAAAAACAACAAAACCCAGCAAGGTCAAAAAGAGAAGCTTCACCTACAACTGCCTGAGGGAGGTGAGTTGCTGTTGCCTGGGGAATGTAGCAATGGGATCCCTGAGGTTGCAGTAAATGTTTCAGAGGAGCCACCAGGTGGTGGCATCTGAGGACACCATCAATTCGTCTGCTCCAGCTCTCTCAGTTGTGCTGGTTCTAAAAAGTTTTGTGGTTGTGCTGTGTCCTGAGTCACTGAGATCATCAAAGTTAAAGAAATTTATCTCGCAAAACAATCATCATTTTAATAGTTGAGCATCGTGCTCCCTGCAGCATCCTCCAAACAGAATCAGCTGGAGCTGACAGTGGTGGGTGTGAACTGATTGCCTGGCTGCTAAAATAAGGGCATGGGGGAACTGGGCATGGGAGCGGGACTATGAGTAATCCAGGTGGCACATGGATATCATGTCAAGGAGGGTGCTGGGACCAGCTGTCAGGAAGAGAACAGTGTGAGCTTACGTAGGTTTGTTCTCTGTGATTCTTTCAACACCAAGCTTTTGCCCTCCAGGGCTCTCTTCAGCTCTTTCACAGGGATCTTCCCTTGTCCATTGAGGAAGCCTACGAGATCCTGCTGTCCCAGGAGGCAATGGACCTGCCACATTACCAGGTGTGTTGAGACCTCCAGGTGTGTTGAGACCTCCAGCTGGTGCAGGGAGCCCGGCCTCTGCCACACTACCTCCTCCAGTGGCTGAGAGCAGAGTGGGACAGTCAGGGAGAGAAGTTTTTCCCACTCAGTTTTCTAGATGATCTGCTCCTGTTTTCCCACCTTTGCTTTGGGTCCTCACCTTGGCATTTTCCCCTCTGCGAGTGCTGCACTGTGTTTGCTCAGTGACAGCAAAACTGAAGTGAATTGTCTTGGGGGTAGTTGTGTAACCCTTTTGCTTTCCTTTACTCTAAGGTGTTCAGCCACTTGAAGCAACTGGGTTATGTTGTACTGAGATTCGACCCCAGGTAACCAATTTTTCCTTTCTGTGCTGCTTTTTCCTTTCTGAAGACCCTGAGCAGCTCTGTGCCTGCTACATGGCCCCAGTGGAACAGCAGCAAAGAGGACTTTGACCCTGCATTCCTTCTCTTGGGAAGATTAAAGGCTAAAAGTGGCACTCTACTCTTCCTTGCTCCTCCCTCTTGAGGAGGTGGTTGGGAACATGAAATGGGGCATGAACTGAGGACCATCCTGGTCTTGCTTGTGGATTTTCTGTGCCTGAAAGAAAAGGTTTTCGTTGCTGTATTCCAAGGCTGAGCAAAAAGGGCAATTCCACTACCTCACCCTGCTCTTAGTCTCTGTGTTGGTGTCTCCTTGCAGCACTGTCCTGTCTCCCTACGAGAGGCAATTGAATTTGGAAAGTCACTGCAAAAGCTCTGGGAAACACCATTGCAAAAGGAGGAGGAGTTCCAGTCCCCGGTAAGGATGTGGCCCAGAGCTGCCTTCCGTCCTCTCCCAGGCCCTGCTGGCTCAGGAACAGCTATTTCATCACTGCATCCTAGTGCTAAGATGGGCAAACTGAACTGCCAACTGCCATGGTGAGATGCCAAAATAGAAGGATAGAGAAGTCAGTGCAGAAGAAGCACATGGCAGGAGAGTTGTCTTGCTCTCTTTTAGAGGGAATGCAAACACCGCAGTGCATCTTGCACTTATTCATCCCCTCAGGGCAGCTTACACTCTAGATCTAAACAGCAGAGAGCATAGTTGGGTCCTGATACTTGCACGTGGCCTCTAAGTGTTGCCAAAATGCAAACAGAAAATGCTTTAATTAATAATTTTGTTAATAATTCTGACAGCTTCCAGTAGGTGGCATCATCATCTGAGAGGCAAGTGAGGATGACTGTGGTCTATGGGTCCATTCCTGCTGTCGGGTGAATCAGTCCCTGAGGAGTTAGGAAATTCTAGGAACTGGAAGTTAAAACTGCTGGTTTAAGAACTGCCCCATCTTCTCTGGGACAAGGGGCTGAATCTCATACCAGTAAGAGGCAATGGCAGGAAGGTTTCTGCCTGGCCTGTGCTGGTTTGGCTGAAGTCCATAATGTTTGCATGGAAGCGTTTGGGTCAGTATATGGGGTATGTGGAGGCTGCATGGCAGGTGGGGAGTGTGTGTCTATACAGATCAAGGCTGGGATTCTGGGTGTTGAAGTTAAACCTCATGCAGGACTGCTGAGAAATGTATTCTGCTTTTGGCATTCACTGCTTGGTTTTGGCCTGCTTTTAGAATCATAGAATCAGTTGGGTTGGAAAAGACCTTTAGGACCAAGTCCAACCTTTCCCCAGTACTGTCAAGTCCATCACTAACCCATGGAACTGAGGCCTCATCTACACGGTGTGTGAACACTTGCAGGGATGGTGACTCCAGCACTGCCCTGGGCAGCCTGTTCCAATGCCTGAGCACCCTCTGGGGCAGGAATTGTTCCTCAGCTCCATCTAAACCTGCCCTGGTGCAGCTTGAGGTTGTTTCCTCTTGTCCCATCCCTTGCTCCTTGGGAGCAGAGCCCAGCCCCTCCTGGCTCCATCCTCCTGTCAGGCACTTGCAGGCAGCGATCAGGTCCCCCCTGAGCACTTCTCTTCCCCAGACTGAACCCCCGAGGTCCCTCAGCCGTTTCCCATCACCCCTGTGCTCCAGGCCCTGCACCAGCTCCATTCCCTTCTCTGGCCCCACTCCAGCACCTCAATGTCTCTCTTGCAGTGAGGGGCCCAGAGCTGAACACAGGATTCGAGGTGCGGCCTCACCAGTGCCCAGTACAGGGGCACAATCCCTGCCCTGGCCCTGCTGCCGCACTGGTGCTGATCCAGGCCAGGATGCTGGGGGCTTCCTGGCTGCCTGGGCACAAACTGCTCATGGTCAGCTCCATCACTCAGCACTCCCAGGTCTTTCTCCACGGAGCAGCTTTCCAGCCGCTCTTCCCCAGGCAGGAGTGTTGCAGGTGGTTATTGCTTTTTTCCCTTCTTGTTTTGTCACACAAGCAGATGCGTTCCTTCCAGCCAAGAGGTTGTTGTCAAGGCTTTTCAGACTTGTCTGGGGTTCCTTCCACCTTTGCTGTCTTGATAGACTGCATTCTTCCTGTTAGCAGGGAGGAGTCAAGATTCAAAGGCAGTAAAGTTCCACCACATGCTGCTCTCCCTTTTATGCTGCTGCTTCTGTCTTTAGGTCACATGAGAAGAAATACAAGATATCAGAGGACCTTCCAGAGGCTGAAGGTACCTCTGAAAAAGCTGGAGGTAACTGTGGAGACTCCAGCTGCCTTACCACAGAGGAAAAGCCCTTGTCAGAGCAGCCAAAGGAACCAGAAGCTGGCAGTGGAGAGGGGGAGTCAAACTCAGTTCCCCTGGATACAGGACAAAAGGATTCCCTGAGCCCCTCCAGGAGCTGGGCTGGAGACCACAAGGAGAGCAGCACTGGTACCCATGCACCCCGCTGGGATTTTACCACCATTGTCTTGCCAAACGTGGCCCCAGACCAGCCATGCACACATCTGCCCTCACCTGATGACAGGCTCCTGCCAGAGAACGTGCCGGGGAGGGAGGTTGATGCAGCTTGCTGGTGCTCATGCATCAATCAGAAACAGGAGAAGCTGTCACGGAAGGAAAGGGAGCAGCGAGAGAAGGAAAGCAGGTACAAGAGCAGTGTCAATGCTGACCGGGAGGTGAGGCGCTGCTCCAGCTGGCAGGAGTACAAAGCCCTTTTGGAGCAGAGGAGCCAGCAGAGGATTTGGAAGCGACCGCGGCATCTCTGGGACCAAGCTGTCACACCACTTTTGCGGCCAGATGAAGCTACCTCACCAGGTACTGGAGAGGGACCCTTTTTCACCCCCAGCCCTCTGAAAAGTTGCCTGATTCACAGCAGCAAAAGGGGTGATGTGGAGAAGCTGAACTTCAGTTTAGTTAACAGTACCTTGAGAAGGAGAATCTCATTAGAAGGCCTAGGCGAAGCAGGCAGAGGAGCCCAGCCATGGGTGTGGCAGGAGAGAAGAAAGCTTCTCCTCTGCTTTTCCATCTCTTTCTATAGCCCACTCAAAAGCCAGGATAAATACAGCCTTGGGAGGTCTTCTAATCCATTCCGCATGTTGTGCTGTACTACAGTCCTTTCTGCTGTGTTTCAGCATGTGAAATCCGGGCCAGCAAGATGCAAAGCAACTGCAGGGTGTTGTGGGCTGTGTGCTGGAGGAGATGACGAAGTTGACATCTTTGAAGTAGCCACTGGTGACTGTGGTGCTGCCAGCCATTGTCAGAGGAGGAAGGCTTGTGGGTGGTGGTGGTGTGCTTGGAGTGCCCTGGGAGAGAAATAGCTGGTCTGATCCTTTCCTGTTCCTTCTCCCTCCAGCTGCGCTCCTCCAGCAGATCAGTGTGCTGCAGCCCTCCCACATCCTGGATGGAGCCTCTTGGTTAGTATCCAGCCAGCCAGCTCATAGCTGTTAGGGAGTGGCGATGTCTTATGACTGCCTGCTTGTGAGGTCTGTGAGATGCTCATGGCAGTAATTTGGGTGCTGCCTGGCACCCAGGATGCCGAGAGAATCCAGCGCTCCAGGACCCTGTTGTAGTGAGCGGCTGACATTTCTGTGAGGTACCAGGTCCTGTAGCACAGATCTGGGGCATTCAAGGCCAGATAAAACATCAGGGTTGCTCTTTTCCTGTTGTTCGCTCTCTGCACCCCAGCCATGTCATCTCCCCCAGAGGTTTGGTTGGGTGTCACCTGAGCTCATCCCTGGAATGTGCTGCCATCCCTGCTGGAGTGATTATAAAACCTTGGCTTTGGGACTTTTGGTTCTGCTCTTGACTGAAAGAGTCTGCATGGTGTTTGTGTGGGGTCCCTGTAGGGCAGTGCAGGGCTTTGTTTCTTTTAGCGGTGCTTCTTGCGTTGGGGGGTGCAGAAGAGGGAGCAGGGTGAGTGGGGGGCAGGAGCTTGCTCTGGTGTGGGAAGGAATGGAAACTGTTGCAGGGTCAGTCCTCGGGGGGGGGGGGCGCGGGGGGAACGGGGTGAAGCCTTTCAAAGGCCCGAACTAGTTGGGCTTCTAGAGTTTTTGTGTCAATATCCTATAGCACTTCAATCCCATATGAAGGTGGATGTGTTCTCTCTTCTGCAGGCTGCAGGAGGACCCGGAGGGCATGAAAATCCACTTCAATGTGTATCAAGCAGATGCTGTGGCCAGGTTTAAGAAGACGAACCCCGGGAAGCCGTATGTCAGGATGTGTGTTCAGAGGTATCCAGGGGTCTTATGCTGTGTTCTGAAACATTACATTTGCAGTTGTGGAAGTGATGTCTTAATGATGCGTAAATGACCTGGCATCTTGTGAGCTTTAGAGATGATCCCAGTGCCTCCCATGAGGGTGGTCCTGCCCAGAATTATTCTTTTTACCTCTCAGTTCTTCCTTTGTTGGGGGCTGTGGCTGACAATTTCCTCACCCCTTGCATTCAGCCCACACTATTTCATCATCTGGTTGTTGTTCATGTCATGTATTACTAGAGTCAGGGATAAGAAGTCACGGCTGTGTTTATGCAATGCGTGTGGAACTCAGGTAGAGCTCAGGTTTGCAGGGAGCTGTATGGTTCCTGAATCCTCAGCCAGTACAGATCCCAGTCGATTTCTGCAGCCATGTACCTCCCACAGGCTTTAGTATTTTGATCTTTGTCAAATGTAACTTCAGGATCAGTATGAACATGGGATAGGTGTCTCCTTTCTTGCTGGATCACAACCTGATACTTAAACTCTGCAGGCAGAGTTCAGTCTGCCTTTTCTAATTTTGACAGACAAAAATTGTCCCTCCTCTACTTTCTGCAACTGTAGGGGAGCAGTGTAAGTGGTAATCCAGTTTTACACAGGTCTGTCCTGAGCAAGTAGGATGGATGATCCTTGCTGCAGAAATGTTTTCATTTACAAGCAAAGAGACTCCGCAAACTTTAAAGGAGGGAAAAGCAGCTCAGGTGTTGATCCCAGCAACCTAAAGATCTGCCTAGCACAAAGGTATTAAGATTGCACTGGGCTGGCAATTTGCCAGTTGCTGTGTGAGCTGCATCTAATGACCACAGCGTGGAGCAGTGGGCAGTTGCCCTTGGTTTTGGCAAAGGATTTGACAGCCCTCAGCTACCAGCATGCAGTACAGGCAGCATCCTGCTTTGACTGAAAGGGGTGGGGAGGGTTGCTACCAAATCCCAAGCTTTCATGGTTGCTGGCCAAGACAACTTTGTATTCCTCTCACTTTGAGAACAACAGGATATTTTTTTCTCCCTGCAGCTTTGATGAGCAGATCCCATCCCTCCGGGCTTTGAAGCAGGTTACGTATCAGAGTGGGGACATCCCAGTGGTCTTTGCGCTGGTGGACCATGGAGAAATTGCCTTCTATTCACTAAAGGAATTCAAGCTGCCAGTTGATGTTAATCACTGAAGTTGCCGTCACTTGCAGAAATGGCATGGGATGAAGGGAAGAGATTTACTCTGGATTTGCTTTCTTGATTAATGAAATATTGCAGAAAATAGAGCCTATGAGAACTGGAACCTTGGGTAGTTAACCATTTTATTCACAGTTAGGCTTCACCCACCTAGTTGGCTCAGGCATAATAGCAAAATTTACAGTGAGCAAATGTGTGTGGCTTAGCAGGGCATTTCTCGACTGGAATACACACTGCATTGTTCTTGAAGCCACTGGTTCTCCACTTTCTCATCTTGTGGACCACTAGTCCACCTTTTCTGTGTCATCTTGCACTGATCTGTGGACCATTAGAAAACACTGCTGGTGATTCTCTTGTCACATGTTAAGAACCACTGTGCTACAGCAGTGGAGTGGTTGGAGAGTCATTTAGGTCAGTCAGGGACAGAATAAGCTGATCAGATCAGTGGTGGTGGCCTGAGCCTCTGTTGTTCAGCTGCACCAACAACCATCTGATCAGATCCTGATCTGGAAAAGGCACAGCCATAAAACTCAGCCACCCGGAATAAAGGTTAAGGCATTTAAGAGCAGGAAACTGTGCCTTGAACACACTTTCATCAGCTGGAGGTCGCAGAAAGCCCCAGATCCTTGATGATGGCACCCCAGCTTCATTCTAGAGTAGCTCTGTGGTGTTTGGCCACCGGTATCACCACACTGTGTCCAACAGTCTCACCAGTGCTATCTTGCTGCTGTTCCAGCCTGGCACTTTCTTTCCTGGCTGTGGATTCTTGTCTTGTCTTTTGTGAGTGAGAGTTTTCCAAGTAAAGAAAGAAGCTACAAATTCCTCAGGAACCTTCCAGTCCTGTGGCTGCTGTGCTCCGAACAAAGGACATCACTGCATTCCAGGCCCTGCTGTGGGAGCTTCCCACCAGGTTATTCAGGTACTGAATTTGCTTTAGCCTCTATGCAGAAGTGCCAGGGGCCAGGCCCCACTCTGCTGACCACAGGGCGTCCAGTGTCCAGGTTTTTGATAGTGACTGGTTTAGATGCATTTTATTTGTTAATTTTTTAATTCCTTTGTTGAGAGGGAGAGGAGGCAAAGCAATAAAAAAGCCTTTTCCAACAATAGAAGCTTCTCAGCATGGTTCTTAATTTCCCCAGAAGCTATGCAGAGGGAGATGCTTAGTGGAGGCTACTGGGACCCCCACTACCACCAGCTGGTGAATTCCTGCTTGTGGTCATACAGCCACATGGCTGTGTAACCCCACTCTTGTGCCCGTCTGCTTTTGGATCCAGCTGCTGCCGCCTGGGAGGGCAGGAGCCCCTGTGTCCATCTACAGCTCCTGTGGGTACATGCCACCTGCAGCTCCTGCATGGTCAACAGTGTTGTAGCTCAAGGCGGCTGGGATCTGCTGCAGGGAGTACTGCCCTTAGGCCTGTTCCATGCACACACACCTGTTTTCAGGTGCTGGAAGTCAGCAAGGCTCTGAGGGTCTGAAGGCCCCTCCCACACACCCTCCCCTTCCTCTTTCTCCCTCCTCTGAAAGGTGCTTTTGCTCTGATAGTCCTCTTCAGATACGGGGTTGGCAGCTCCAGCCACTGGCCTCAGCATTCTCCCAGAGCGCTGCACAGTTTAAAGGCACCGGGAAGGGAGTTTCTAAGAACAGGCACAGCCAGGAGAGCTGCAGCCTGACCCATGGGGCTCAGCGTTTGTCCTGGAATTAGGTTAGACTCACTCCTGTTGATTTCAATCAGTCTCATCTGCTTATGCCAAGGTGGAATTGTATCGATGAACTCTACGAGAGCCACCCAGTGAGTTTCGCTGGGGCAGACTCCCTGATTCAGCACAAAACAATTACCATTTAATAACTGCTGCAGGGAGGATTGGGAAACTGGCTGCCTTGCTCAGCACCACAGACTGACGGAGCCTGCACCGGGATGGGGCTGTGATGCGGCCTGGTACCGGTGCACCGCGGACCGGCTGGATGTGGCAAGAAGATGACAGGAACGCGCACGTTAGCAGGAGCACGTCCGTTTGGGAAGCTCGGCTGACGCGCGGGGTCCTGTGCCGGAGGTAATCCCAGGCCTGGGCGCGGGTTGGCAGCGCTCGGGCGGTGCCGCGCCGCTGGCTGGGCTCTGTTGGTGGCAGCAGAGCCGGGCTCTGCCCGCAGCTCCTGGCCCCGCGGCCCCGGGGTGGGCGGGGGTGCGCTCTCCTGGAGGCAGGCAGCGCGTGGCCGTATCCGCGTTCTGATTGGCCCCCGCGGGAGCGGGATTATGAATTATTCATGACAGAGCGAGAGGTGGTTGGCCCCGGCTCTGCCTCATTTGCGTGCGAGGCCCCGCCCCCGATGGCAGCGCGCGTCGTTGCGGTACGGCCCCGCACCACCCCCCCCGGGGCGGTTCCCGCGCGAGGCCCCGCCCCGCCGCACCCGTCCCGGAGGTGCCCGGGGAGCGCGGCCGCTGCCGCGGGAGCGGATCGGGAGCGGAGCGAGGCCGGGGCGGGCGGCTCCAGCCCCGCAGGTGAGCGCGGCTCGCTGGGGCTCCGCGGGGCCGGGGGTATCTCGCGGGAGTCCGGCCGGGCCGGGCCGGCTCTGGCGTGGATCGCGGCGGCGGGACGGCCGCCGCCCGCCCCTGCGCGCCTATCGCGACTTTGCTCCGGATCCCCGCCGGGGGGCGGGCCCGTTCCTCCGCCCCCGAGATTCCCACCTCGGCGGGTGCCCGGGCCCCCCGCGCTGCCCGGCTCCGGCGAGCACCTGGAGCCCCGGGCGCGCCTGGGACTCGGGTCTCGGCTCCCCGTGGGACTTGGGCAGTTTTTACATCCTGGGACTTGGTGGCGGAGGTCGCGGCTTCGGGACTTCCTGGTTTAGCCCCGGGCGCGAGTGGGTCCGACCGGGATCGTTCCGGGGCCTGAGCGGGGCAGCGGGAGCCGGCCCGTCACCGCCTGGGGCTGCCCCTGCCCGCGGCCGCCTCCCGGGACTCGGGTACGGCCGGCTCGGAGCAGCTGCGTTACTGGGACTCGCCGTGCTCCCTGTGGGACGCGCTGTGACGGCTTCGGATTTTCTTGTTTCTGTCGAAGCCGTGCCCGTGTCATCGGTACCGCGTTACCGGGGGTTTCCGTTCCAGAACTGGAAGCGTTTCGTGAGTGAGGGAGCACGTTGTGTCCAACAGCAAGCAGGTGGCACAAGAAGGTAAATCCGGTTGCTTAAGGCTTTGTCGGGGGTTGTCCTGCAGCTGTGGCCTGGGAACAAGCTGGCTCCGAAGTCTCCTCTCCTGGAGGTGAGGCTTAGCCTTGGCTTTGGAGGAAGTTTTGTGTGTGTTACTGTTCGTGGTGTCAATGCTGAAGCGGGGTTCTGCAGCAGAGCAGCGCGAAGCTTTGCATTCATGTGAGCATAGTGACCAGGCGGGAGGGCCGCTTCGCTGAGATAATAGATGTGGAAGCTGCCCGTTGTAACGTGTTACTCCGTGGGGAATGCTGCTCTTTGTTGTCATCCCAGAGCACTGCAGTCAACTGGAATATCTTGCTTTACCGAGTCCCAGGTGAAGCTGTGTGCCCAGAGCAGCTACCTAGATATTCTAACTTTGATTCGGGAAGCTGGTGCTTCTGGTAAGTGGGATGCAAAGTGGAGGATATGTCCCGAGGCTTTTATGTGTATCCTGGCACGTTTCTTGTTGATACAGCCTGGCCCACGGAGGGGACAGGGATGGTCTGTGCAAGTTGTAAGCAGTGCTGTTTGTAGCCACTCCATTTGTAGAGGCTCCGTTTACTTCATGGTATTGAAAAGGGAGGAGAGTTCTCAACCACACCCATGGGATGGTGCAGAGGAATGGCTTTGATTTGGCTTTGAACAAATTGCATCTGCTCTAACTACTGACTGAAAAAAATATTGGAGTTAACCCTGTTGAGAGTCCTGTATCTTCCAGCGGCTTCTTGGTGCCTCGATGTGATGATTACCAGGAATTGCTTATGGAATAGGTGTGGGTTTTTTCCTTGGCTGATACAGAGGCTTGAGAGATGTCAAAGAGTAAGAGCAATTAACACATGTAATACAGTTAGTACATGGCAGTAAAAGTATGTGATACTGCTTGTAGCCTGATTTTTTCCTTAAAACAGTCTATCAGAGGAGGGACTGGTGGTAACAAAGTTTGATTTTTGTGCAGAAATCTGGAATAAGTAAATGCCCCATCCCTGGCAGTGTTCAAGGCCAGGTTGGACGGGGCTTGGAGCAAGCTGCTCTAGTGGAAGGTGTCCCTGCCTGTGGCAGGGGTTGGAACTGGATGAGCTTTAATCCAAACACATCTAGAAAATCCTATGGAAACTCCAGTTCTCATCTAAAAGTTTTTTTCTAGCTACATCTCTTTGTGTCGCTGTAAGAAGCAAATGCTTTCCTGGTTTACTGCATGGACCCACCAAGTTTGGTGTAAAATGCTGTTCCAAAGTCATACGCTGCTCTTCCATTTGAATCACACTTCTCAGCTGAAGCAGACAAAGAGTTTTGGATCTTGTACAATAGTGTTCAGTGCAAAGACTGCTCTGCTGTAGCTTTTTGAAATTTCACGTTGTCATGCTCCTGTGACAAGAACACATTGGGAACCGTGACACATAAGGTTTGCACAGTTAGTAAATTCAGTGCAAGTGGGTGGTCCCTGGTAACTCCAAGTACAAAACTGTGGAAGTACATGAGCTCTCCTGATTTGTATGATGGGCTCTCAGTTATTTTCCGAGAGTTGCTGGGGAATCTCTCTCTGATTTATTATTTTCTGTGTTTTGGGAGGGCAGCCCCGTGCATGGGGTGTCAGACACAGTCTGCTCAGTTGTTCATTTAACTCTTGTCTCTCCAAGTTGGCAGAAGTAACTCCTTGTTACAGGAGGATCTGCTGGTTTACCTCTCTGCTCCTGCCTGACCGTTGCACGCAGAGTGCATCTCAACACTCTTGTTTATAGAACCATGGGAGCTGGTGTTGTGTACAGGGGAGCTGTGCATGGTCTCATTGAACTGTTAGATTACTGTTGTTAGAGCATCTTACCAGTGAAGCCTAATCCTGGGAAAAGGGGGTGGTATCTTACACTTCCAAGCTTTCCACAGACTGCAAGTGTTCCATCTCTGCCTCCAGCTGTTCTGCTTGGTTTGTGCTTTCTTCTCGAGTGTCTGTCTTGGTGGTGGTTACAGCCGTGACTGGTTGTAGAGATGAACTTCAGTGACAGCCCAGTTAAAGGGTAGCAAGGGGCTGTTTCACTGAGTTCAAGCTAAAAGTGTTCTTAAAATTGTAATTTCACAATGAGTCATGTCTGATGGTTCCTGCCATCTATAAACCTGATGTGGGGCATTTAAATGATCATTTTGGTGGTTGTGAGATCCTTGGTGCTAAGGAATAGCTTTTTCCTGTGTGATTGATCTGGCCTCTGTCTTGTTCTTGTTGCTGCTGACTGTTCCTGTTGCAACAGGAACAAGGCAAATTTCTGGGTGCGGGAGGAAACTTGGTTCAGACAAGGCCACCATGGTGCCTGTTTGTTACAAAAGCACTCACTGCTTGTAGTTCAAACAAAGCTTGTTGATAAGAAAGGCCTCTTTTATTTTAGTAGGGTTGATAAAGTATTATCAGATACACAGGGAGAAGTTCTCACTTTAAGGACCTGTGAGCAGGAAGGGGTGGTGAGGAAGGAATGAAAACGAGACCTTAAGCAAGGCAAGACTGAAGAGTTCTTGAGATACTTGATGGTATTTTGAAAAGAAAGCTGTTGGACCCTACCCCATTGAAAACCCATGCAAGTAACGTAAAGGCTTCTCAGGAATCACATAGATGGAACCTTGCAACTCTCCTCTGTAAGCAAAATAAACTCATTATGGGTATGTTTTTGTTGTGGGGTTAACTTGGGACTGTATCCACGCTTAATACTGTCTACATAGTAAAAACTGCTGACTTTCATTGCCTTGCAAGACTGGATTAACTTGTGTGGTTGTGACTTACAACATTGGTTCTCTCCTACTTTTGGCTGGAAATTCCATAGTAATGTGAGGATATAAGCAAAACTGGCAACAAGTTTCTATGAAGAGTAATTCCCCACCAGCCTATGCTTGACTGACAGAGAAAATCCACAGTGTCTCAGCAAGCTGTGCATGGGCATCAAGACA